CACCCACCACCAACCAGTGTGTCAGCAGTAATCTAAACACAGGTACCAAACAGTCTTTGTGGTGTATGACAGCCCGAGTTATCAGAAAGAGCACGTATCGAACCACTAGCGTGCTAAATGATAAAAAAAAAAGAATACCAAATTGAAACGCAGCCGAGGTTTTGTCGTTAGCACACTGGCGCTAACCAGCAGTGTGCCTGTCAGTCTGTTGTTGTTTGTTTAGCCATACTTTTGCACCAAGCAACGACGACATACCAATGCTAGCTAGCAGGCTAGTTACCAGTATCAGCCTCCGTGCATCACTCCAATAAACAACCGCACCTGTTTGCTGTTTGGCTACAACCAGGGACAGAGTTGCTATATTTAGGAGTTTCGCCGATGTCACTTGCAACTAATTCCGCATCGCAATCCTCTAAAGACAATATCTCTTTAAGCGAGATTAACTTGGGTTCCTCAACTGCCAGCCGGCTAACGTTGCTAATGCTAACCTTAGCTCGGTCGGGTATGCTGGTCAGCTGTCAGAAGCCTGGGTGTTGATGGATTAGCCAGCTAACTATGCTAAAGGCAGAAAACAGTAGCGATTGGCGGCTTCGTCAAACGTACCGTGTGTTGAGAACCTCCCTCACGCTTCGGACCATAGCTGAGTCCCCACAAGATCTGCGATGTCTCTCGAGTAAAGATCTGTGTTTTTTTAATTTTTTGTTCCGACTGAATAACTTGTAGTTTCGCATTCCAACGTCAGGCCGCTGACACTGAACTGCATAGCAGTGTGTCTATCGCGATAATGTCACAATTTTTCCGGATCAGGAAGTTATTCCAATCGAGAGGATTGAGGCGCTCACAGTGCGCATGTCCGAAAAGTAACCCTTTTCAAACCAGAATTCGGTGTTAACTTACAATATATTTGTCAATAAATTACAAGTTATAGCTGCACTATGAAAATTATATAACCGAAAAAATAACACTATCAATTTATTACAAAATATGTTTATTCCACTAGTTATTATCAATGTATATGTATGTATGTATATGAAAGTATATACAAAGAGAGATACTTTTATTATTACTATAATAGCTAATTATAAATGACAATAACTATTATTATTATTGTAATTCAATGATAATGACAACATGTGAGAGGTAAATGTCTGCACAGTTTCACTAGAGGGCAGTGAGAGATTCTTTTTTATCTATTTAATGGTCAAATCAGACTTACTCACAAAGGGACACTTCACATTTTGATTTGGTCGAGCAGTTGCAAAAGAAATTCCGTATTCCTCTGAAAATCATACTTTGAATCTGCTCTTGAAAGGCTGTGAACAAGTCAGTGATGTGAATAGCATTAGCTCAGCCACTATTTCTTTTGAGGTATCAACTACATGATGAAAACTGTATTGGTTATATTTTTCATGATAGACATAACATAATTAGGCTGCTTTAACTGTTATCTTTTTTTTTTAAGTCAGTTTCTAGTTAGGAGGATTTTCTGTGTTGTCTATTTAACCAGTGCTGGGTTAGACTCATGTCTGCTCTGTCTGCAGGCAGCAGCTGTTCCGTGGCAACGTTTCTGCTTTGGCTGGTGGCAGCTGAGTGCTGAGCCGTCACAAATGGTACAAACGTCTATCCACTTCTTTATCTTCAAGAGAATCGGCGCAATTCTCAAACATATGTACAAAATAGAGGGCAGAGTTTATCATCCCCAAGATGTATGCAGTTTGGTTATGGAGTTTCTGGTTAGAGTTTAACGATAACTTAAATAGTTGTAAAAACTTAAAAATGCAAAAAATCTTGTTTGGAATAACTTTAAACAACATTGATGTTCTCTTTCTTTCTTTTCTGAATAAAACAGAGATTGCAACAACTGAACTTCCTGTGAATGACATGAATAGTTCCACTTTCCATTTGGTGTGGACAAAGGTCAAATCAGTGTGCTCTGCTGGGTACAAAAGAACAAGAATTAGCGAGCGGCACCCGGAAACCTAAAGTTCTGATATCTGTAGACTGATATGCAAGGATGTAAAAGCTGTTAATTCAAGTGGGTTCCTCCCCCAGCACGGGATGCAGGTTTGATGTAGGGAACCAGTCTCCTGATGCTTCAGCAGGGGGGGCCAGGGCTGTACCACCACTAAGACTTTTGTAGGGGTGTCGGGGTTATGCTGCAGCAGCTGAGGCGAAGGCCCAATCTGACTCAGGTTAGCTGTCCTTACAGAGTTGATTAGTTGCCACAGCTGTGGGTCTATTTAAAGAGTGCCCTTGCCGTCCCTGATGCCCCACAGCGGACCCTAACTCAACAAATGCCTTTTTCTAAGCAGGAAGTAGAGAGCCAACCCCCTACCAAAGTAGCACATTTTCAGCTTCATTCACACAGCTCTGAATGTATACATCTACAAGGTTGGATTTTGTTTTAAAGTGGGTAAAATAGTATAGCAATAGGCAAAAAGCGTACATAAAGAGAATGACACAAAGGCGATGGGAAGCTTTGTTGCAGCTCTGAAGAAGTTTTCTGGGCCCGACCTACAGCAGAAGGCTGAAATATTATAACTCATTGTGTTTAGATTCTACTCCGTCTGCACTTTTGTTCACATTTCTGCACCTGAAGTGTTTGTGCAAAGACTATAAAAAAGTTCTAGCCTATTATATAAAAAATAACTCCAAAATCTTTTTTTTTTTTAACTTCTATTGTTTTCCCAAGCAACTTTCTTTTCCAATGACACAGCAACTCTCAGGTTTCACTTCTCAGTACAGTATTAGCCGGAGCTTTGGCCCTCTTGTTAGGGGGTTTCCAAAAAGCTGCAACGCCTCTGTCTGGATGCAAAGGACCACTGAAATGAAGTACATTTACCTCTTCTGTGACCACATTCTAGTGGTTGTAAATTGGTGAGACAAACATGTCCATGCTGATGTTACAAAAAATGCATCAGAATCAGTGCAGCTTCTGTAGCTTCTTAAAAAGTGCCGGTGACATTACCAGATTATTTGAGCGAAGAAATTGCTTTCTGTATTTTCTGCCGGATGCCGGTTTGGTCTGTGAGTCAGCAGCTGTGCCTGGAGCCATTAGAGCAGACTAAATGTGTCTGCAGCAAAGTTTCTATTTACATCCATTTACATGACACTGTGCCATTCCCATTCAGATGACGAAGTGTTTCAGCACTATGGATATGAATACAGTAGGCTTGACCTCTGATGTTTGAAATTCATGAACGTCTGATATCTTATCTCATTCGCTCATTCTGAAAACCTGCATGGATCGCAATGTGATTGCAAACCGTCACCGCATACCAGAATGAAAGGGAAATATCGGTTGGAATAACAAAGGACGAGGTGGTATCTTCACTGATAAGTTTGGAATCCAGGGTCTAATAGGCCAACAAGCAGATAGCAGCAGTCACTGTCTGCTTTTAGATCACAATTCTCCCCAACAGTGGTGTCCCAGGGTGTTCCGTTGCTATTTTACCAGATATTTCAACCAGTTTGGCATTACGGGACGTTAACCTGTGAGGTCTGTTACTGACACCATTCATCAGTTATTTCTAAAACAAGGGGAAAGAACCGGATGAAGCAACTGCTCTGATTTTAATAGCTAAGAACAATCACAGTGTCACGGTTAATTCTGACCAAACATCTCTTTGTTCTGGTCAGTGCCGAATCAGGTGGAAGATGATGTTTCTTTCCTCCCAAACAAGTAGTTTGCTTTGAGTCTTTTCCCAATTGTTGTCACTAAGCTTAACAATTACCATGCAAAGCCCAAAGAGACCAAAATCTGACTCTTTGTGTTTTTCTGTTTCTCTGATCATTGTCTGAATGTGGGAAGAATTTATGAGTACGTCCTCTCCTGGAATAGAAGTTGCGTTGAATTATAATGGATAAGGCACCGAATGGAGTAGCAGCTGGAAACTTACCATAATTTGGGAATTTCCTATATTTTTTTAGAGGTTTTGGAGATAAATATTAATTAATAAAGTATAGATTTACTGGGTTTCCACGGTATCTTTTTAATTAAAAAAAATATATAAATGTAATATATTATAACTGCAGGACTGTGGGGCTAAAGCATGATGGCTGCAGTTTTGGTTTCAGATCGAATTTTGGCTGGTATGTCAGTGTGCTCTTGTAAAACTAAAAATAATTTAGAGATGATTTTTGTTATGCAGATATCAATTGAAACTTATTGAAAACTTTATTCGTCGGCTACACTTTTAAATGCAGCTGTAACTACTGACCAGGTCGGCCATGAGCGGTGGAGGCGCGCGCGTGCGCAGACGCGCGAGCGGCAACAGCTGAAGCTGGAGCAGGCGCGCGCGGAATGCACGAGCCGATAGAAAGTAACGGTACTTTTATGGAAAAACGGCTCGGCGTCACTCAGGCCGTAACCAGCAGCCGGTCAGGTCGGAGCAGCGAGTGTCCGAACATCCCGGATTGTGTCGTTCGGTCGGAGTTTCTTCAATTGTTCGAGTTTTTTAATCTGGCCAAAGGATTTTTCTTTAATTTGAGGAGAAATATAAGGACGACTGCGTGGTAAGAAGGCGTTTACTCCTTATGCTTATTTAGTTTGCTATCGAAAATGTACAACCATAAATGAGTCTCAACATAATTAAAATGTTCAAATTAGATGCTTTATAATGATATAATGGAGGACAAATCGTAAATGTTGTCATTTATAGTAACTTTAAACATGTTCAAAAGCAGAAATAACTGAAGCAGATTGTGCAGCAGGCATGTTAACACATGCTAATTTTGTCAATCTTAAGTTTTGTAAGCACAATTTATCTGAATACATTTACGCTATCGGCTTAAAGAATGATTTATTATTCCACGGGTTGTTCTGTATGGCAGCATGAGGTTATAACATTTGCATTAAGTCAGCCTGCACTTATTTACAACTTCATGCTCAATCAGCATATACTTGGATATATTGTGTAACTTTTACCCCTTTGTAGACCTAACAGTGCACAATAGAAGACGTTACCATTGTTTGCCCCTTCTGGAAAATGACAGGTGTTGATCCCATCTGTCCATCGTTCCTTATTCACTTAAACTGAATATCATTAAATCTGTGGGTGGCTGGATTAAATGCACAGTGATGATCTGCTCTAATTAGGGAGGTATCTCTGAACCTAATCATAAATGGGCTAAGCATGTGGACTTCATATGTGGAAGATTTTACATCTTCGTTGGGCCGGATGTGGAGTCCTACAATCACAGATCAGTGTGTTGACTGTGGGTCACACACTGAAGCAACTCTGTCTCTGATCTACAGCATTATGTCCCACTACCATAACCACACCTCGAACAAAAAGAGGTAATCCTGGATGCTGACCAACAGTGGTGCTTTTAGTCTGGGATGACAAATAGTTATCACAGCTCGTCTATCTCTCAGTCTGGCCATTTTGTCAAGGGTCTGCTGGCCGACATGGGGGTGCCAGGTTGATCTTTGTCCAACTGCCCATCAGAAATAGCCATGATCACATGTTCTGGACCCTTAAGAGAGCTATAAATAGGAGTATGCAAGCTTCCCCTGCACTCTTTCTCAACATACTGAAGATTAGGCCTCCTTTAGTTGGCTCTTTATTATTATTTTTTTGCCCTAAATTGCACAGTAAAACAGTCAAAGTCAAAAACAACATAAACAAAGATCGTCAAGCTTTGGAAAATGAATTAACTTCATCTGCAAAGTGCCAATAAATGGGGGTGTAGTAAAAGCGTAGAGGCATGCACAAAGCCAATCTGTTCTACACATATTTATATCTGAAAAGTATTTATTCTCAGTCACTAGTAAGTAAATTGTTTACATGTAATATCAATTATTGAAATAAACTCACCACTTTACAATTGGTTTCAATATTCCTGTTGATTATTTAGCTTCTAGCATGTAAAAAGTGAACTGGGGGACCAATCACTTGAGCGTTAAAGGGGCAGTAACTCAACTATGATCTCTCTGGTCTTTGCAGGTAAAATTCTCTCAGTGGTTTTGTCAACTTGTCGCTGGGGCAGAAACATGACCGAGGTGGCGCAGGTTATGGCTATAGAAGCCCATGACGTGGAGGATGTCACGGATATGAATGAACACGGCATGAGCAGTGAAAGGGACAAAGAGGATGAAGTGACACACAAAGAAGACGATGAAGTGACACACAAAGAAGACGATGTGACACAAGAAGAAGACGATGCCGCGCATGAAGAAGACGATGCACAGCATGAAGAAGACGATGCACCGGTCGGCAACGCGGAGGAGAACAGAGCGATGACACCGCAGAGAGAGGATTCCAAATCCCCCCATGTGGCTGACGACACAGGCCATGAGACTGAGAAGGCCCACATTAACGGTTTGGACGAGCAAAACGGTCCAGATACTGAGAAAAACGAGAGATCAGAGGCTGTAAACGGCGTCACAGAAAAGGAGGAAGATCCACAGCCGGAAACCAACGACAGCCTCTCTGACGTGAAGCTTAAGAAAGAGGTGAAGCTGAAACCTGAGGTGTCGGCCATGTTTAAATGGTCTGTCTTGGTGTGATCAGAGCAGTAACTTCTCTTCTTGCCCCGTGTCCAACCACAGAAGCTCCTCCGATCCAGAAAGCCGGTGGCCAGAAGCTACGTGCCGAAGCAGAACAAGGGGGATGTGACCAACAAGTTTGAGGCCATGCAGAAGGCCCGAGAGGAGCGCAGCCGGCAGAGGAACTCTGATGAGCAGCAGAAAAGGAAGCAGCAGTACATCAAAGAGAGGGAGTGGAGTCGCAGGAAGCAGCAGGTCAAAGACTGATAACCCTATTAACCTCCGCCTGTGGTCTGCATGGCACGAGGGGGCATGATGGAGGAGACAGAGCAGCTCATTTGAGTGAGAACACAGTCTAATAACACTTAAACTGACTGGTCCATTAATCTGTTGTGTTCAGCTGAAACACTCAGCTTTGGTTTGTGTTTTTGTGAAGTGGCTTTTTTGTCATATTGTGTACCTAAGAAATTAACCCCACTGGCTATTAAGGGGATTCATAATTTAGTCACCTACTGTGTAGGCTCCCTGATAAATCATATACCAAATCAAAAAGGTCATCTAGGAAGAAGATGAGAGCACTTCAGAAGTAAATAAACAGCTGATTAATCATCCATCAAAGATGTATTGATAGATGTATTTTACTTAATTATTTACTTCATGCATTTAACAGGCGAACAAAGGACAACTGCCTTTTTTTGTTTTCAGACACAAACTCTGTGCAAACATGTACAGAAGATTATTTGGCCCTTTCAGAAATGCTCAGTGACCAGTAAGTGCTTCGTCCACTATTGGACTCGTTCATTTTTAACTTTCGCTGAGGCAGAAATGATGCCCTCTATTGCTTAAAAGTCTGAGCACATTCTGGGTAAGTTTAAAATCAGTGCAGTAAGGGTAAGAGAGCATTGTCCAGTCGTATTTCAAAGCCTCCTGTAGTTAACCAAGAATGCAGTCCTGTGACGGAGGGATGTAATGTTTTTCTTGGGACATTGTCGGCCTTAAATTGACAGCAGTTGGACAGGAAAGGGGGCGGAGAGAGAAACAGTCCAGGACTTGAACTGATGCCAGCTGTGTCAAGGACCTTGAGCTTCTGTATGCGAGGCACCTGCTTAACCACTTACAATGCCTCAGGTCACGGCCCTCTTGAATGTTGCAGACGTCTGTCGTAGCGCTGCATATATTTCTGTTCAGTCCACCAGACCATTTGTGAACCACTTCAAGCCTGGGGACTGAAACTAGCCTCACCCCATTTTTGTCAAAGGCTTTGGAAGGCAGAACATTATTTTCGAGCCAGTAGGTTTCAAGCAGGGGCGGTGTGGTGGTTAGCACTGTCGCCTCCCAGCAAGAAGGTTCTGGGTTCGAATCCCGGGGGAACCAGGACCTTTCTGGGTGGAGTTTGCATGTTCTCCCTGTGTCTGCGTGGGTTCTCTCCGGGTTCTCCGGCTTCCTCCCACAGTCCAAAAACCTGCATGTTAGGTTGATTGGAGATTGGGGAAATTGCCCTTAGGAGTGAATGTGAGTGTGAGTAGTTGTTTGTCCTTGTATGTCTTGTGTGTGGCCCTGCGATGGACTGGCGGACTGTCCAGGGTGTACCCTGCCTCTCGCCCGTTGACCACTGGGATAGGCTCCAGTTCCCCCCGCGACCCCATCAGGGAATAAGCGGTATTGATAATGGATGGATGGAATGGATAGTTTTCAAGCACAGCCAATTAAAAGCAGACAGAAGTTGGATCCAAACATTATGTTTGAAAAAGAAAAAGGTTAGCCAGTCCGAGCCGAGGCTTTAAGGTGTGGGGTGTCCTGAGCTGGCAGTGTAACAGTCACGTGATACAACTTCACAGCAACGTGGAAAATATTGCCAAAGACTTTTACCGTAAAATGCATATTAACGGGGATCTGATAAATACATTTTCCTTTGTTGGAATTAAATGCAAATATAATATTTTACATTCTTTTGCCAGAACTAAAATGATGTTTTCCTTCTGGCGCATCCGGTGCTTCACCTGCAGCCACATAATTAAAGTGGCATCATGCATGCAAAAAGCTGTTTACCTGAATTAGGGAAACGGATGGTAATGATGTTACCTATATATTTAAAAAAAGGCTGCAAACAACTCTTAATCAACTATGGTTCCTCAATCAGTGCCCCTCCTTAACCCCCGCTAACTCTTTTTAAAAAATGTTTTAGCAAATCTTTGAGATTAGTTTAAATATTTGTCATAGTTCAGGTTTTATCCTAAAACCTGCAAATATTATTCAGGCATTCCTTGTTCAAGACTTATTAACCTTTGCCATGACTCTGAACACCTGATATCTTGTGCTTCTGTATAGATGTGTATAGATGTATATGTGTGTGGGATGTTGCTGTGGAATATGATGGCACTGGGAACTAGCAGACATTTAAAATCTACTTATCTAATCTATCCTCTTTATCCTGCCTTTCCTGTGTATTGGAATTTGTTTGAGTCTTTTTATTCTCTGTGGGATATTTGCGGTTGATTTACTGAAAAATCTGCACAGCCTTAAATTCAGGACTACACTATAAAACAATACTCAAATGCTCAAAAATGCAGATTTGATCACAGTTTCAATGTGTAAGTAACAGACACAGATTGCAGTTTAGGGGAAAGTTGGAGATCAACAATTCAAAGCTAAACAGCTTTTCTTTTAGATTTAGCGTGATGCACTAACAGCAATGATACGGTGTTATGTGATTGGATTACCAGTGATACGCAGGCACAACCTTCCTGTGTACCATCATGGCAAAGCTGGCCATGCACCAACACAATAAACCAATCAGAAGCCCCGACTGCAGTCCACATGACCTTGCTATTAGCGGGGATTAGGCCCTTGTTCTTGCTGGGACCAGCATGGCTCCTGGGTGGGTGGCAGAAGAGATGATCCCAGCTAAACCTTAACCTGAACACACTCTCCATTTGATCTGCTACAGATAAAAGAGCTACTTGCATCCAGCGATGAGGAAGAGGAGGTGAAGCCGGCAAAGGTGGAAAAGTCCTACGTCCCCAAAATTAAAGGTAAGGCACCCAAAGGGATGCAGATGGCAGAAAAAGATTAGCTACGTGGAGGGAAGGGGAGGCTGATGGTATCTGTTTTGCTCTGCGAAACGCTCAGGTAGCGTGAAGGGGAAGTTTGCAGAAATGGAGAAGCAAAGACAGGAGGAGGAAAGGAAGAGAATGGAAGAGGAGAGAAAGAAGAGGGAGGCCCAGGACAACTTGGAGAAAGCCAAAATCAAGAAAGAATTGGCACAGAAAGCTGCTGAGGTTAGTAAATCATTCCTACACTGGCTGTATAATGTGTCATGGCGTATTAGGAAGCAGAGCAGCCTGTTTGGATGGTCCAGCGTTCCCTCTATGGTGAGAATGGTGCTTTCATCTGTAACGATTAGGATAAACCTCTGCTGCCTCCTGGATGAGTTATTTTAAGTGGCTTTTGAGATCAGAACAGTTGGCAAGGCCTGGATATAGGTCTGGAACCATCATTAGCATTGTTGACTGGACCAACCTGTGACCTCTGAGTAAATGGGTCAATTCCATTACATGTCACTGTGGTACTTGGAAAAGAAAGAACATGTGAAATACATTGTAAAAACATTTTTAACCAGTGTGTGGTCCACAAAACAATGGAAGCAGACCTTTTTGTCTATGCCCTGCACGCTCTCAGTCGTAATGGTTATGTAAGGAGTCTTTGGCCAGGAAGGCCATTGCCTGCCACGGCTGTGGTCTAATTCTGCTCCAGGACACTGTAAATGGCGTCCACTGCCCCATAAGTATAACTTTCAAAAGGACACTGCTAATGCAGTAATGACTTGTAATGTGTGAAATGGATCCGAGCCAAGTTTGTAAAAGAATTACATCCCAGGTGTTAAAGGATTTAGATCCTCTGGATCTAATAATTGTAATAGTCTTGTGAAGCACTGACTAGGCGGTGATCTAGAAACAACTGGAACGGAGCTGCCAGGTGTAGACAGCACATGACTGCCAACTGTTTCCCACACCACCCAGTGACAGAATTAGCTCTAGACTTCCCTCCTGCGACGGAATTAGACTCTGCTATCTTAAACTGACAGTCACAGATTGACCCACTGCAAATGGTGACATTAACCCCAAAGAATTACTCCCTGCTCACGCACATTGTTTTACGCCCAGTTTGGGTATGCGTTTGCTGTCAGAGTGACCTGAGTGAATTCTGCTCTCCACCACTGATGAAGTGATGTTTCAAGCTGTCCGAATAGGCCCTAACCCTAACCCCAACCCTAACCCTAGCCAGGGTTGTCTGTAACTTTTATTCATTTGCTTCGCCCTACTTTGGCTAATTCTCATTTTTAGGAGGGCGATGACACAATCCTGGTCCGTGTGGTTCCAGCGAAACCGTCCCGACCTCCAGGCAGAATCAAGATGAACTTTGAGGACATGGAGAAGAACCGCGAGGAAGAGCTACAAAAGAGGGCGGAGGAAGAGAAGAAGAGACGATACGATGAGAACAGACGCTCCTTCAGGGAGGCCAAGAGGCGCTCTGTTGTTCAAGAGGTCGGCTTCCACAGGAATTCCACCCAAAAAACTCAGATAGTTTAGCTTTGACCCCTAATATGTGTCTCATGTTTTATCTTTCTAATTTGAATAAGGATGACGACGAGGAGAAGTCTTCGGAGAAGGTGTCAGTGGCTCCTGGAAAGCTGAAGATGACATTTGAGGAGCTGGAGAAAGAACGGCAGGAGCAGCGGAAGAAGCACGCAGAGGAGGGGGCAAAACGGCGCCTGCTAGAGGAGAAGAAGGCTTTTGAGCAGGCCAGGCTGGGATTGGTAAGAGCATTTACTAATCAACTACTTTGTTCTGTGGGAAAATTTCGACCATCTTTAACTTTTTTTTTGCATTTTTGGTCCCATCAGGGAGAAGATGAGGAGGGCTCTGAGGCTTTTCAGGACGACAAAGAGGAGTTCCGTCCTGGGAAACTCAGACTGAGCTTTGAGGAGGTAGAAAGGCAAAGGGTGGAGGAGGAACGCAAAAAAGCAGAGGAGGAGGTCAAAAGACGAATGGAGGAGGAGAGAAGAGCTTTTGCCGAAGCCAGGAAAAGCATGGTGCTTCCCCCTTACATTTCCACAATTGAACAATATTGTGTAGACTTGAAAAGTCATCATTCTGTATCTGAACAAAACAAACTTACAAAAGTTACAGCACTGTGCAGCAGTCTGGAACCACTCCTGGTCTCCACATATACTTAATATAATTTATTACAAATGTTTGAAAACATTTACTTTACTTTCTTCCGCCTAAATCAAAGCCCTATAAAAAAAAAAGTGGTACTCAAAGCCCAACTTGTTTGTTAATTCTTAGCTTGTAGATGAGGATGATGAGGTGCTGATGGCCTTGCTGAACCTGGAGGGCAGCAAACCTGGGAAGATATGTGCCAGTTTTGAGGATCTGGAACGGCAGAGACGAGAGGAGGAGCAGAAGAAAGCTGAGGAGGAGGCCAAGAGGAGACTGGAGGAGGAGAAGAGGCTCTTTGCTGAAGCCCGCAAGAGCATGGTGAGGCTTAGCAACCAAAAGAATCACTATGTGCATGGATTTTACTGAGAGCTAATAGGCTAGAATGGATTTGGTGTTGCACAGGCTTCAGCTTAATTTGATGCTTCTTAGAATAAAAAATTGGTAGTAAGAAGGAAATTTGAAGATATGGAATATATTGACATTTTTCTTCATATATACAAATGAATAAAATTAAAACTAGAAACTATTTATGTTCATATCAGATTAACCTCTGTTTCAAACAAATCAGTATTTGTTTTTGTTGTGTGCTACATATGATTCTATGATTCTAACGGGCTCAAATGGTACCTTGCACTGCTATTGCCATGTCCAAATTATTTCTTTAAGAGCCCTGGCCTGGATCAGAAAATGTCTGCATATGGCTATGAAAAAGTAAGATATTTTCTGTTTCAAATATTTACAATTATTTAATTGAGGACAAACAAAATCTGCCAAAACATGTACCTCTGAATCTGAATATTACATGAAATTCACTACCTGTATGCACAAGGGTATAAACCCCTGAAAGAATCTATGTTTAGCTGCTGTTTAATTCGCATGCTGCTTTTAAACACGCAACAGCGAATGAGCCTACGCAGTTGTTTGCTGAGTTTACAGCATAATTTTATACTGAAAAGATGCTTTGTTCTAGTATACTTACCTGACTCGCTCAATGGGAGGACTGCTGCTTTTGTGGATTGTTGTGTATATAGATGCTGGATGAGGATGCAGGAATGGTGAAGAGTGAATCTCAGGAAGCTCTGCACCCAAGAAAACTGGAGATGAACTTTGAGGAGCTCCTTAAAGAGAAAGAGGAAGCCGAGAGGAGACGCAAGGCAGAGGAGCGCAAAAAGAAAATGGAGCAAGAGAAGCAGGAATTCGAACAACTCAGACAAGAGATGGGCGAGGTCGGCTTAGGCTTTCCCAGTCCCAAACGCACAAGACCTCTGTTTTTTAACCAAATTCAAATTTTCTCGCCTTTTTTTTCTATTGTTCTTATATTGTTGACTAAATTATTTCATGTTTTGCAGGATGTGATCAATGAAAGCTCCGATGTTGTGAGCAAAGAATACGAAGAGCTCACAAAGCTCAAGAGAACCGGATCCATTCAGGCCAAAAATCTCAAGTCCAAGTTTGAGAAGATCAAGCAGCTGACTGAGGAGGAGATTCAGAAAAAGATTGAGATGGAGCGGGAGCGTAGGAAGGCCGTTGATGATGAAATCAAACAGAGAGAAGCTGAGAGGTTCCAGGAGGTACATTTTCCAACAAGACTAAGGGTGGCATAGGTCTGACCTCCCCAGCAATAGAGGAAAAACTAGATATGATCTTTTAGTATGAAGCTGTGATTAAAAAGCCTGTGATTAAAAATGCTATTTGTTTACATGTATAGTTAAAGGGCTTAAAATCTACAATAAACAGAGCTTTTTTAAAAATTCTACTGATATGTGACAGCACATTTTGCTGTTTTTGTTGATTTCGTTTTGTCTTCCAGGATGAAGAAGGAGAAACAACTCCAGCCAGGTACGAGGAGTCCCCCTTCAAGCAGAAGGTGGACATGAAAGCCCGATTTGAACAAATGGCAAAAGCCAGAGAGGAAGAGGAGCGGAGGAGGATAGAGGAGCAGAAGTTGCAGAGAATGCAGTTTGAACAGCAGGAGATCGACGCTGCCCTTCAAAAAGTAACGCTCATTTTCACAGCTAGATATTTTGCAAGATCATTTTTAAGGCATGATGGCGCCTCGATGTTTTTTTTTACTCTAGCAAGATGTTTGTAATTGTTTTCATCTGTTTGCAGAAGAAGGAGGATGATGTTGAGGAGGAGGGAAGCATCATCAATGGCTCGGCCGCTTATGAAGATGAGGAAGATCATGCCAGGTCAGGGGCTCCATGGTTCAAAAAGCCCCTCAAAAATCAGTCAGTGGTTGATTCCGAGCCAGTTAGGTTTACCGTCAAGATCACCGGGGAGCCGAAGCCTGAGGTAACCTGGTGGTTCGAGGGGGAGATGCTGCAAGACTGTGAGGACTATCAGTACATAGAAAGAGGAGAGACATACTGCCTCTACTTGCCCGAGACCTTCCCCGAGGACGAGGGGGAGTACATGTGCAAGGCTGTGAACAGCAGAGGCACGGCAGCGAGCACCTGCATCCTCACAATAGAAAGTAAGACCACTCTGGTGTGACGGCATGCCTGCATGAAACCTCCCACTTCGAGTTCTCCTCTCTTTAAGAAGCGGATCGCATGCTCCTCTTCCTCGTGAACCGAGGCCATAAAGCAGATGTGGGTAACAGCTGTTCTGTCTCTTTTTTCCAGCTTACGACTACTGACGCCCCTCCACATTCTGGAGACGTTCTCTGTTGTGTTTCACTCCTTTCTGTAAAACGTAGTTCTTTGTCAACCAGCAGAAGGGAGAACAGTATGCCTGGCATTCCTAAGGGAGGGATACATACCACACACACACACACACACACACACACACACACACAAACATCAAAATGAATGTCGTTTACGTATTGCTCAGCGGTAGGGCTGTGCTCCCTGGAAGGATGCTGAATGATACCTGTGCCAAAACAGACCTGATTCTTGTTCCAAAGCCAACGGTTGCACTGATCTTCCAAAGTCTCTTTTTTTTTCAAGGCCCTAACAACAATTGTGATACCAGCAGTTACTAAGTGCTTTGATTCTGTAATGTAAATATCACACTCTATGGTCCATAAATAGAAAATGTTATGTATGAATATTGAAAGAAGTAAAACCTGAAATACGATAGCATTGTAATGAATGTGGTATTATATAAAAGCTATAAAACATCTTTTTTTAAGTTTCACAACTGTCTGACATCGTCTAATGATCAGTGGTTTTGTGGTTTGTTGTGATACTTTCTGGGAGGTATACTGAAAGGAAACACAATCATCACTAAAGGGTCTGTTGATAATGATATGGATTTGCAATGGCTGCCACATACAGCTGGAACAAAATGTATGAGCACACCCTGACTTTTATTTGGAGCATCTGAAACAACTGAATGTTGATTTTCATACATCCACCCAGTTTTTTTCCTTTTCTTTTTGTTTTCCTTTTGAGTTGAATGTAATAACTGTAACACTATTGATGCAGCTGTCAATTGGCTTTGCAGGACAACTGTTAACATTTGATAAGTAAAAATAACATGTAAGCTGGAATATTTGTCATATATTATAAATAGAAAATAAGTTTTAATAAAAATGAAACATTTTTTTGTGTTGTTGTGGTGTTTTTCCTTTCTTTTTTTAAACCAAGTATGAGTTTTATTGTTATTCGAGGTTATCCTTGGTTTGCTCACATATGAGAGCTATTAAGAGACTTCACAACTGTTCAAACTGTTCTTAATTTGCCTAATAATGTAAGAAAGTTGACTTTATTATCTACTCATTCTAAGAAGTAAAATAATTTACATGTCTGTACAAAGTTTTGCATAGAAATACAAAATGATCCAGAGCAATTTAATTATCATTACTTACGTTCATATGAATGCTAATCGGAAGCTAACTTCAGCGTCGTCTAAAGGGAATGTAAGCTAAATTATCTCCATGGCAACGAACATTCGCCAACAACGCAACTCGGCTGAACTCGCGCAGTTTCGCCGACCTCTCTGTTTCTGGCAGCCCGGGACATCTTGGTTCTGCCGTACGTTTGCACAAGAAAAAAAAAATACATCTCCAACGCCACTTATTGATTCAAAGTCCCCAGAAGCAGAGTTTGGTTCCCCCCTCACCTAAGTCGTAACTTCGCCCACCGGCGGCCGTTTAGAAAGCACACGCATTCGTCGTCTCGCTAGGACAGTGGTTGCCTTTTTCCCCGATGAATTTTCTGCAGATAGACTCCTTGCCATCATGGTTGCATCAGTCGAGGAGGTTTCTTCGTCCCTTGTTCGAGAATATCTGAGCCGAAAGGTAAGACACCTAACACACGACTAAAATGCATCGTCTGCTAGCTAGCTAGCTCACGTTTGCTAGCTCACGTTTGCTTCATAAACACGACATGACACTAGTTTGTCGACGTATGCCGGAACATTTTGTGGCTGTGTGTACTTATTATTGTGTCGCAGTCTCTGAGTGGAGACTAAATAGGGTGTGTAACACTAAACCTGTTGGCACTGACGCGCAGGGGCTGAAGAAAACTATCGCGTGTATGGATGAGGAGCATCCACGCACAGAGGCCAGTATCAACAACAGATCACAGCTGAGGCAGATCCTCAACATAGACGACCTCTACAAAAAGAACAAGGTGTGTGTTTGTGTGTGTGTGTGTCAGCTAACTGACTGCTGCTTTGAGAGAGCAAAACACAAAGTGTGCCACCGCTTTCTGTCATTTGCAGGTTCAAAATTTGCCATTGAAAACCTTACTGGAGATTATTGTGAAACACCACATCGAGCAGTTTAAGGATGTCAAGATCACCAGAAGTGAAAGTGAGTCTCAGCAAAGCGTGCAGGCAATCACCCCATCGCCTGATTCTCCTGCAGTAGCATGGCCGGTGATAAACGATGCCGAGGCAGTTGAAATAACACCAGCTTTACTCCATAACACCCACACGAAGTCCAGGTATTTCACATGCAACATTTGAAAACGCATATGTGTGTATCTATCTGTCTGTGTATATTTTCTAATGCGCTCCACTTCTTGGAACTTTCACAGGCCTGAAATAAAAGGGACATGCCCCTCGCAGCCTCCATTGTTGTCTGATAAAGACACAGTGTTCAGTCATCATCAAACAGATGTCCCGGCTCATGAATCAGATTACAAAAAAGGCCAGAAACAGATGGCTTTCCAGTCGGAGAGAAACACTTTCAGCACAGAGAGCGCCCAAAGAAGCCGAACTAACCTCACCAGACGAGGCATGATGGCTGGACCGGTACAACAGGTACCGAATACTTAGCGTCTCACCTCCAAGAGCCTCTTGTCATTCTTTTTTACTCTTGTTACTCTGCTTTTACTTTTAGGAATCAAATAGAAAAAAGCAAGGTGGAAGGGTTGAGGTGTCCCAGCTTCCGCTCAGAAAAGAAGAGGAGGACAAGCAGACTCTGGAGGGACTTTTGTCAACAGGCATGAAAGCCTCAGAACGCGTCAGCTCATCCAGGCGTTTCGGGTGGAGTCAGGATTCACCAAATGGACCAAAGAGAACGGATGAAAGCAGAGAAGGAACCGCAGGACAAAACGCACCGAAAACGAGAAAGTGAGCACATTTTCGTCAAACTCCATAAAATCCGTCGTTATGCACAAGGACTCGTTAATACCGGTATCTGTATTCCTGTGTTTCTTAGATCCATGTCGGGGCCAAATGTGTCTGAGCTGGATGTTTCGGAGATGGTGTTGGGTACGTCCCGCAGAAAACAGAGACATTGAAATCAGATGACCATCTGGTGTCTTTGTTCTGCCAAAATGAATGTGTATGGACCCGTTTGCAGATGACGTGGATGACAATGAAGTGCAGGAGTTTAGCAGAGTGGCTCCTCAGAGGGCTGCTGCGGGGCTCCAGCCAGCAGGCCGCCCGATGGACCAGCACACCGCCGCGGTGGGTGGTTGGCTGCAGCCTCGCAGAGGACCGCAGAGGACGGCCACTCCATGTTTACATCGTTTTCCTTTGGTCGTTTTTTCTCCAGGAACTGAAGGCAGTTCTCCTCGGCTCCTGCCAAAGTTGTTTCAGTTTTGAATGGAGGCAGCAGGGTTTCACATTCTCAGACGCACACGACCTCAGATATGGAATCGTGCAGAGGAAGGTCCTTTTCCTTATGTAGTCTCCTTACATCTCGTCAATGCACTCCATTTACTCTCTTATGATTTGCTGAATTGTGGCGTTATCCTTTACAGTTTTCGTTTTGCCTCCGTTTTAGGGGGGTCCTTGTGGAGTTCTGGCATCCATTCAGGCCTTCGTTCTGAAGAAGCTCCTATTTGAAAACCCCCAGAGCAGTTTTAGCACCCTTCAGTAAGTTAGCTTCCATTTCAGAGCTTTATCCCATGATGTAATCCTTTCTTTTCCGTATTGACCGCTTTTCAGAGCTATTAATTCACAACCATTGCGAATTGACCCTCTGTGTTTTTGTTATTATATGTGATATATTTCACTGAAATCTTCTTTTTCTTCTTTTCTCCATGGATGTTCTTCAGGATGTTAAGACCTTCCAGTACCACCAGAAGGCAGTGTCTGGTTTCAGCCATGGCCGAAGTCCTGTGGAGAGCTGGCGGAAAAAAGCAGGCTACAGTCGTTATGTAAGACAACTCCTCACCGGCCAACTCTCTTTCTCTGTGTAAGAAGCTGGAATACATGTGTCCTGATGTCCAGGTTGTGCGTTGTTAGATTGAGTGAGAGGGCATCATACGGTGGCAGCTTAAAGTTTGAGGCTACAAAAGAATTACCTGTTGCTTTGGCATCACTTACATCAGACCAGTGGAATGTTTTATGTAAAAAAAACCTGGGCCTGATTGACGGTTATAAACAGATGTCTCATCCGGTCACCTGTTGAGTATTTTTTTTCTTTCTGACCCCTTCCAAACAATGTAAAATAACTTCCCAGATGGTTCTGTGTAACATAGCATCTGGTGTGCTGTCAGGTTACTTAATCCTCTACATTCAAATACCCCCCCCCCCCCCCCCACACACCGAGCCGCCTTTTTGTCTTTTAGCATTTATATCAAACGCTTGGGAAAATCTTGTTTCAGAACTGTAGGTCAGGATGGCTCAGTATGTCAGGTTGATACGGGCCGTCTCCATCAGCCGCGGCCCGCATCCCCACCGGCTGTCAAGTCTGTTAATCTCCAAAGGGCCTGATAAATCGACTTAAACAGTTTTGCATGCTTTGTGTTTTCCTTTCGGTTTATTTTTCTGGATTGCAGAAACTCGGGGAGAAGCCATTTCACCCCGAGCGGACACTTCAGATCTGAGGGCGTGCTGGAGCAGGTACACACAACTCTGTACACGTCAGCCGAAGTTTCACGTTTCTTGAGTTTTAGTTAACCGAATGGATTATCTCAGATGAAGAGTCTTTTATTAGCATTTGAGTTCTGCTTATTGTTTTTTTTCAATTCTTAATGCCATTTGTGCAGATGATTTGATCTTTGGAGTTGCGGTTTCTGTTCTTTTCTGGCTCTAGATCATTTGTTTCTCAGTGGACAATATCAAGGATCTGCAGTTCAGTCTGGAGCGGCATATCGAACAGGTGAGAGAATCCCCGTCAGTGTTTTTTTTTTTTTTTTTGCCAGTCAGCTGTCCTGACATATGCCTTCTTTTATGTCATGTCTGTTTTCATCCCACAGTTTGAAACCGGGATGTGGGGATGCTTGCTGCTGACCATATCTGCTGTTCTCTCTCGATCAATCCAAAAGTAGATCCAGCCTCCTCCGAGCAACACAGTCATATGCTGTCTCTCAGTTAGGCGGTTTACCACCAGCCATTTTTAAAATGTTTACTCTTATTTCGCAGAGTAAAAGAAGACATGGACGTGCCAACCACCTCTCTTATTGGCGCCCATGGCTACTGCACTCAGGTTTGAATCATTCTTTCTTTAGATATTAACTAATCACCAAGTATCCTCTAAATGTAACACGCCAATAGAGTTTTCATCACTCGGCGTGGTGCACAAAGTGTGTGACATCGCTGACCGTCTGTGTTCACCAGGAGCTGGTCAACCTGTTGCTGTGCGGCAAAGCCACCTCTAATGTTTTTGACAACGACATGGAGCTGGACTCTGGCGACGGCAACACGACGCTCCTTAAGGGAATCAAAGGCCACTCTGACGTCGGCCTGCTGTCCTTGTTTGAGCATTATAACATCTGTAAGGTGAGCAGCCTGTCGGACGGGTCACAAAGACCCCACCAGACTATTTATAGCGGAGGGAAAACACATGCCCGCAGGCGCCCATAACCATGGACATAGCTGGTGTTTATTTTCCAAGTCGCTCGGCTTTACTTTGTTCTCCATAAGGTAGGAGCTTTCCTGAAGACTCCCTCTTACCCGATCTGGGTGGTGTGCAGTGAGAGCCACTTCAGCGTGCTGTTTGGCCTGCAGAGGGAGCTGTTGACCAGTGAGGACAAAGCCACGGAGTTTGACCTCTACTACTATGATGGACTGGCCAATCAGCAGGAGGAGATCCGTCTGACCGTGTGTATGTGGACTCAGTTTATTCACTCGCGTTTGTTTTTCGGGCTGCAGCCACACATCCAAAACATGCTTTCCTTTATTTGAGTGTGGCGTTTCTATGAATTCCCTCATTCCACCAGATAACAACCTAATAGCTTTTTTTTTTAAGTGGCTCTAGCTTTGATCAAGCCGCGGCTATTCAGAACTGCAGATAACATTTTTATTTAGCTTGTTGTTTTCATTTAGACTTATATAGATTATCTGTTGTATGATGTTCCTAAACTAAAAATGCAAATGGATTTTTCAGCTGTTGGCAAACTGACCCAGAGCTTTCAGGAAGTTGATACAGATCTCATTCCGCCTCTGGAGCTCTGTATCCGAACAAGGTAAGGCCATTGTTTTACTTTGTTTTCTTTTGGGGTTTTTTTTTTCTCTTTTTTTAATACACAAACATTGTCACATGAGCATACCAAATGCCACAGATCCTGAAAAGCAGCAGTTTTTATTTAGTGCTGTCAAATGTTTTGGGGTATTTGGGTATTTTATTTGACTGATGACCTCCATGTGGTGTAGTGGACTGTCCACAAACCTGTGTTTTCTTTGTTTTTCAGGTGGAAAGATGCATTTGTCAGCTGGAATGACACAGAACCTATTCTCTGAGTGATCATCCGCTTACTGATCTCATTGTATGCAAATGGTACCTCAGAGCCCCAAATAAAGAACAATATCTTTTTGGCATCACCAGCTTTTTTTTTTTTGGTGTGTAGATTTTTTCCTGCAGGTTAATAACATATGATATCCGCCTCTCGTATATCATGTATCACATTACTTCAGCTTTCTTAGATTTGAGATCTTTGACTCCTGGAAGGCTTCTGGACCCCCCCCTCGGCCACTGGAGTGCCACGTCTGCTTCGAGAATCTATTTTATTTCATTTATATATTAGGTCAATTTTAGTGAGCATGTTTAATTTTACTGATGTTTTTCTCAGCTATATGTGATCATAAGAAACATTTAATGAAACCGTTTTCTCCACTGTGGCCTTTCACTCTGTAGCTGCTTTGACATAAAGATATAAAAAATTGTTGTTGTCGTTTTGGACTTATTTGTTTTACTTTTTGATCATGTCTGTAAAAAAGAAAAAATCAAATGTGTGTCTGTAATCTTTCTCTTTCCCAGAAATATGACCATTTTACCTGCCTTAACAGATTGAGATGAGTGATTGATCCTTGAATTGTCTAACATTTGTCATATTAATAACTCACTGAGTAATTCTCTAAAACACAATTGTTTCTCCCCTAAAGGAACTCCTAAGCCTCTAGAAAAACCTGTGGAATACTCAACAGTTTTTCATAATATAACTTCTTTTGAGGTTCATTAGCTGATTGATGGATACAGAAATTAATAACCTCAATTAGGACCAGGACATTCTCTGTAATTTTACTGTGGAAATTGCCAACATTTAATTTAATCTTCATTATATTTCATCTGTACAGGTAATGAAAATCCCCCGAAAAGCATTAATAAAAGAGTGTTGTATGAGGGAGAAGATTTCTACTCTGCATTTGTAAATAAGTAATATGCTTCCAATTACAAAGGTGAATATTCATCTTTGTAAAAAAGCTGATTTATCTGTTAATCCAAACAGATTTAACATTTTAACAACAGGATGAGATAACTTGGACAAGTACATATAACTAATATTTCTATGAGTGCAAAAGGGAGCTTTAAAATAACCAATTTGCATGTTAAACAAACTGAAAACAATTCACAATAGGTTCAATAGGTTTTCAAAGGGATGATAATAAAGTAAAGATTGTGCTATTCAGTGGTTTGCATCGTGAGAAAAGACACTAAGTGCAACATTAATAAAGTGAATATGGAAAAAAGTGTATTATCAGTTATACTACAGATAATACAGTAATATGGGGGATGAATTCAGCTCTGTTTTGCAGTTTTTTTTGGCCTCTCTGTCTTGGCAGTGACAGGCGCCTCGGCACACACAGTGTGGGGCATGCAGAGGGGGTGGCGGGACTCCGCTGCCAACACCTCCAGCAACATGGGATCAAAGACACCGAAACTGGCACACGGACACAGTTGCAGTAGCTGACTTCCTTCGAACTGCACCAAGGAGTGGAGAGCAGAATCCAGGACGGGTCCACCAGACGCCGCCTGTGTTAGAACGCGTTAGTTTACTTACTCAGATTGAGCTGCTCTTCCTTCAACACGTTCCCATGCATCTGGAAAACCTCTGGAGAAGAAGCTCGCTTTTGACAACTCATTCATCTTTTAGCTGCTGTCAAATGCTTAATTGAGACTGAATTATCTAGGTGTACATTATTGGTGACTCATGTAGGATTGGAGCCTTGCACAAAAGAGACATGAATTAATCATGAGACGTGGAGGGCATGAATGGACCCTTTATGACAGTTTTACAGCCACCGAGGCCACTGTGATCACTATAAATATGACGCTTTGCCTGACTGAAGCCTTGGGGGTCTCCACAATTGGATTATAGCCTTTACTTTTGCTGCAAAAATCTTCGGTGTACGGGAAGGGGGGAGGGAAGGGGTTGCTTTTAACGTACGTCATAAGGAGCCATGTTTAGGAGTTAGCATAAAAATATGTAAATCGACACAATTACAAATGTGCACATGACTTCAAAGCCAGTTAATGACAGAAACCAGGACCAGAAGAACAAACCCCACCAGTGGCTCTGAAGGTGAGGTGTTTCCCCACCTCTGCTCCTGGGCTTTGGTTGGAGCCGGCTGCCGTCTGACAGGAAGGAAAATGGCACGGCTTTCGTCTCTGTTTACTGTTTTTTATTACAGCAGAATTTTCTCAGAGGTGCCGGAGGAAAGATTTGGTGCTTGTGTGTAATTGTGTTAACGCCCCCCCACATGCTGTCCCCGGTGCATCTTCTGTCTCCTCTCCTAATCTGCGCCGTTTGTCTCCAGATAAGTGATATCCTCCTCAGATTAGGTTCTGGCATTCCTGCTCTGCCCACCCGGAGGGGAAAGGGATCCCCAGTGCTTCCCCCTGAGGTGCTCGCTGTATTTTTAGCCTCATAATCCTTTCACAGTTTAGGCCGAAAAACATCCGACTTCTCCTTCTTGGGGGCCAGGTGATGGCTTTATCATCCTAAAAACGTTACAGCCACTCTGCGGTAATTTGCTTTTAGCAGGTTTTGACAGCGAAGGGGAATTTGGAGGAGCATAAATTTCAAAGCTGAACTCTTCATTTCGTGAGGATGCTTTGATTTGTGGAGGCGAGCGACCATTTTATAGCCCCTGCACTGCAGGGCCACCTCGTATCGAGTTGGAAACCCGGAGATCTGAGACCCCTACTGACACGGATAGGAGCTGTGCACCATCAAAATAATGTTTGTAATCATGAAAGTTCAGGTCGCGGCGGATTATCTTCGAAGGGTCTCACAAGAAGCCAAACTCTGGTGAATAATGCATGACCCGGTGAAACTAGACACTCCTGCTAAGTCTGCAGAGACGAGTTGACGTGAGAACTGAGCTGTTGTAATCTTTGGCTCGTAGCGCGTGTTTTCTCAGAAGCTTGTCCATCAGCATCACTCTGTGTGTGTGTGTGTGTCTGTGTGTGTGTGTGTGGTTCACTGTTTATATCACCTCCCAAATAAAACAACAATCTCTGTCTCTACTGCTCTGCTTAAACTAGCAGGACAAGACAACGCACGGCCCGAGCCAAAATGCTGGACCTTTTTTTTTTTTTTTTTCTCAGGAATGCGCAGCGCTGAAAGGTCCCGTAAACCCCCTTCCAGAAATGCTTAATGATCAATTAGAGTTACATTACACTGGAGCTCCGAGGTCTTTATCTCGCATTATAAAGTAAATGCGAGGAAATGACAGCTCTGCTTGCATCAGCCTCCCCCAAATCTGATTCACCGAGTTTGTTATTTTCCATTTACGGAGCCTGAAAGGAAAACATGTGGGATCTTTGGAGAGAAAATAAACATTTTTCCTTGTTTGGCTTGAGGACAAGTCAACTCGGACTCTATGTGATTTTCGAATCACATTTCGGTCTCATGTAACAAGTGGTCTTTAGCTCGCAGTCTATAATTTGTAGGACATTTGGTTCGCAGATAAATTTACTTGACACAAGTTAAGTCTCCCCGAAGGTTCCAAGATGTTCTCTCTAAATTAATATGATATATGATGTGCGGATATAAATAATATCATTGTAAATGTCAAGCATTACACATGACTCAAACCTTTGATTATATTAGAAGCTCAGTAAGCTTTTGCTGGTCTTAAGTGGTGTATATTTGTTTCTGTTGAGCTTGGATTGCTCAACTGTGCTCCGGGTCCAAGATATCTGATAGCTATGATTGAGTGTGTGATTGCAAGAGACAAACAAAAATCTGCCAGATGTTTTGCAACGCGCCTCGGTCAGAGGAGGGAATTCTGTAATGCTAACACCTGCTCGTATAAGCGGGGACGGCGGAGGCCGAATCAGAAAAGGTGCTGAAAAATGCAACGCGTTCCAGCCAAAAGAGAGAGCAAAACGCACTCCCAAAGCAGCGAGCTTTTAATGAAACCCAGCCTTGTTCAGTGCTTTTTTTTTTTTTTTTACAAATTTAGATGAGCGAAGCCTGGGTTTTCTTTTTTCTTAAAGGAGAGGAGACTGGGATAAACACATGGAGCACTGTGCCAGTAATGAGCAGTCCTCTCCCCTGGGCTCCATTTGTGGTCTCACCCATCACACCACCTGACTCCACTTTCCCCTCTCCTCCAAAAATCGCAAAATCTGCTGTGCTTCAAGATTCTTTATTCAATACGGCAGTGCAATATCACCATTGTTGTTATTTAATGTGTTCTCATCGTCAGCAATCACTCAAGTGCCAAATGAAATGTAATGAAGACAACGAGGAAGGATAACATCAGTAAAACAGTGAAAGTGAAATCCATATTTAAGGAGGAAAAAAACCTCCCTGTCCATCACAATCTGCACTTCTAAGACCAACATAATTCAATTTAGAATGATTGTGAAATAATTATATACATTTCCTTTCAATAAATAGGTGCATTTAATATTAAATTAATATTTCCTTACAAATACATGGTGCATACAGGCCCATTAGGAGAAAAAGAAACCCATTAAAAAACATTGTTCAATAATGATAACAATGACAACAAAAATAGAGACACTATAAACACAACAATGTTTGTATGACTGCTGTGGGTTCAAAGGCACTTCCTTGGCAACACATTAATCCCTCTTCCATTATGCTGGGACCTAAAATCAGAAAAAAAGTTGATTAAAAGTTAATCATTTTCTTTTCTTTTTCCTCATGTGCAGCATTGGACGTGAGGATTTTGACACATCCTGACATCTTTTGAAGGAAGTTGTATTGTTAGCTTCTAAAGAGGGTCATTACTGGCCTTCCATTTCCAACACCCCTAAATATAAGTGACGCTCACTCAGAAATGACCAGAGCAGCTAAAGTTGTGACTCACCTAATGTCTCGGAGATTGTGACTGTGAATGTGAGCTCTCAGACAGGAATTTATTGTCCGATTTCTGAGAATGTGTCAACCTCCTCTTTTATATAATGACCAGCAATAACCAGTGACCTGAAACGAGCGCTTGTGTAGATTAATCCTTTTTTGCGGGACGCCTCCTTTATCTCAACCTAATTGCATTCTCTGAACAGCTGCTTTAGCCTAAGTTATACTTAGAACCAGCAGAGAACGGTTCTCCGACCTGCTGCTGTCGTCAGAGAAGGCCTCGACAAAAGGGCGGCCACATTTCCAAAATGACTCCACTGACGACATTCTGAATCCCTTCCTTTGAGAATAGCCGTTTTATGTGTGTTCAATGCCAGCGGAAGACTTCCACTGAGTAATTCTTCTAATAACATTCACCAACTAGCCAGTAATTTTGCTATAACAATAAAAAATAATATCATGGCATGGTAAATGATCTAATTTCTGTACTTTGGGGCAAAGGATGCCATGCAGCTGAGAGTGGCTCCTCCTTTAGTTTTCTTTTCAAAAGTCCGCAACAGGTGCAGGACGACAATTACCGTGACACACACCCCAGCGTGGCACAGGACTAAGTGGAGTAGAATACACACGCTCCATTCTAGATGCTCCTTTTTCCACATTCGGTCAATAAAACAAACTGGATCCCATGACACATAATAGTTTCAATCATCTGAACACATGGAACCTGTTGCTTCCCCTTCGCTCTGACTTTCCGTCCACTGTTTCTGACATATAAAATGAATTGTGGAATTTCAGCTAAAAGACTATCAATAAAAGTTAAACCCAATCTATAAATGCCTCTTTCTGGCAGGCTAAAGATTCAGCTCAACCAACACCCAGAGATGCTATATTCTCACAGGATACAAATGTTGGCCAGATGTTGAAGGGATACATTTCGGATGATGTGAAGATCAGCGTTGACTCAAACATTAGACACACATAAAATTAAATCCCCTTTCTAAGCTGAAGAGAAATTCCCTCATCAAACTGAGGCAGAAATTTTCAGCAACATCCTTGTCTGTTCTAATAACACAATGTTTTCCCCTGACAAATAAAAGAATAATAGAAACGAAAAAGACTTAATCTGTGTGGACAAAAGGACAAAAGAGAAAAGCAGTTACTCACATGCAATATCTAAGATTGCATGCAGAGTGGACTCATTGCTAATCGTGTTAGCAATCTTGCACATCTTTTGTAATCTAAAAGACACAATGAGAAAAAAAGGTCATTAATAAATCAACATTAGGAGAGAAAGAATCTGTAAAACTAAGACCAAAATCACACCCTGACAGACAAAAAAATGTATTAGGACAGTCTTTACAAAAAGAACATATAACTTATTATACTTTTAAACATAGGTCAGAATGGTAATGATAAAATAATAGTTTTCATAATCAAATATCATAATCAAATATTTGTATCTTAGCACTGCAAAGTCAGTGAAGTGCAAATGTGCTCTTAATCTCGATCCATATGTAAGAATGAAATAGATGAACCTTAATTGTGTAGCTCAACACATTTACAGTCAAAGGCATCCTGTCATCAACTCAGTTGTCAGTGCATCATACTTTAATCCTCACGTGGTGAAACTTGCAAATGGCATGACAAGAATGTTTATTCAGCGCCTTGCATCGGGTGGAAGTCGGCACCAGACACATATTGGGCTGTTATTCTCTGAACAAATGCTCGACGGCAGATTTTAGGCCTTCAAACTGGAACACCGATAGAGCTGATGCCTCGACTTGGTTTCCAGCCTGAAGTTTTTACGGCCTTTTAGGATGTGTCAGAGACGTCTGAGCAGCTGCAGGCTCGATTATCCAAAGGTAAAAACTTATAGTAACTTCTCCCACATTGATCTTTAAAAACTGGGCGGAAATCAATCTCAGTTGTTCTGAAAACATCTTGAAATGGATCTAAATTGTAGGGAATAGTATTCAGTAATTGAACAGCCTGCAAATCGCTAACATGTGCGAGTTGTTGTAAAGGTTGTTGGAGGTAAAGGTTCACGGGTAAATGCAACTCTGGAACATCCACTTGCGAGCCTTCGGCATGTTAGTTGTAACAGCAACACTTTATATAATCAAGATATCTCGGGTCTAAATTCGTAAATCAAAGTGTTTCCAGAATTTAATCAACACTCATGACCCCCTACGCTTACAAGTATCCACGACTTTACACGCAAATACTGCTTTTGCACAATTTGTTGCACTCATAATACAGCTTGTGTGATTCATCTGGACTTGGCGGTTGATAGATTTTGATTTACAGATAGAAGACTTGCAGATAAAATGCGAAACCCATACACGTCGCTTAGAAAAACATCTAACACGTGAAACCACATCATAGTCAAAAGATTACAAAAAACTGTGTTTTTCCGGCCTTTGATATTTGCTAAAGGATAAAACAGCACGCACTCCAGCAAACCAATACAATAGCAAGTGCAAATAAAAGTGAAGAGGCATACGTACATGCGGGTCTTGAGCAATCCCTTGTGTTGTGATAGAGTCTATGAAAGTGTGTTTTACATTCCGACGAGAACTTGACTTGTCCTGCTTAATAGAAAAGGCCTCATCAGGTAAAATGGAAACTTCATTTTTTTATTCAAGTGGCTATTTTAATCACGCTGACAGATAAGTGACAAAATACAGGAAATACCTAGAGTGCCTTTTTTGGGGGGGGGGGGGGGTGGCATGGTTTTCACACAATTCACACAAATTCGCTCTGGGATTGCACTTCTCTGTGATGAAACGTGGAAGAATAACATTATCAACCCCCCCAAATCACAGTAGCAGACTGTAAGTTTTGATTATTACAAAGTGGATTTTAATCAGTTTCCATCAGACTTGAGATCTCAATCCAAATGGACCATGAAAAGACACTTAACGTTGGTTTTTCCTTTAATTAGTCACATATCCGCGAGCTCACATTAAATGAATTAGTGGTCAGCACAAAAAGAGGCAAATCGCGGTCAAATCGAATCAAAGTGAGAGTGAACTGCTACGTATCAGAGACAAAGTTAAGGGGTCGGGGTTCAACTGGACAGAGTGTGAAGGGGAATCGAGTCCTCAATTATAATCACCTCTGAGAGTTTCTGCAGTAACGATTAAGCTTCCAGATTTTCATACCAATAATGAAGTCCACTCACAGGACCTGAGACAAATAATCAGCTTAACTTAGCAATGCCTTCAACTTAATTCTGTCAGCTTCAGACCATGTGCTGTTTCTCTAAACTATTGCCCTGCAGCTAAGCCAGGCGACCCCCTCCTGACCCACAGCAGTGCCAGTGTTCTCAAAGCTGTCTATGACTTTAGCGTACTGTACATTGGTCTGGAGGAATGAAAAAGACTTTCTCAGAGGGGCAAAACTGAGAACATCCAGCCAAAAGTTGCATGGGAAAAGGCCAACTATGCTCTTAAAGCAGTTTGCCAGATAAAACAGTTTTGCAACGTCTGGAAAGGGCAGTGGTGGAATATAATATAGACGTTTGCACTGCTGATGTGATTGTGTTTGATGGCAATTTTCTTACCTCCAAAATGCTGAATAAATTTTCCTTTCATGTTTGCATCTCTAGGAACAATATCTGGAAAATAAAAACCACTGTTAGGCTGTCAGAAAACATTTGACGAGTGAAATCATGATGTCTGTACTATGGTCCACATCGCCTCCTCTTTGGCTCTCGTTTTCAGGCTTAAAGGACATTTTTCTGCAAGTGAAGAACATCCCGCGGCTACACAGTCATGTGAGCTTAATGTACTTCGTCTTTTCTGGCGTTTATGTCATTTTATTTCATCCCAAAGTCGCGTACGATAAAACAATCCAGCCCCTCAGTGGCGCACCAGTTTTTGAGATTCTGTGTTCAAATACATCGGTGGTCAACATTTCAAAGGCATTTTGAGTGACTGGACTGGAGGTAAGGGTATCATGTACCCCCTGATAGTATTTACAAAGTTAACTCAGGCAAGGTTCCAACCACATGCAGAACGTGCTAACAGCCTAAAGAGATTATTGAATGGGAGTTTAATGCTGATCAGAGTAAGTCTATGTAAGTAGCTACTGGGCTAACAGTACTTTAGCCCCTGGACCTGATGGAGCATAATGCTGTTACAGCAGACAAAATATGAATGAAAGACTTTTAGTGGGTTTGTTCACCAGAATGACGTGGTCTGAAGTATAGACGTTCAAACTATGTAGAAGGTCGGATCTGGAATCACCAAAAGGAATTAGTGACACCCATTTAAAAGGAAGTTCTTCTTGTCAGACCACCCAGATTGGTTTCACTACTTTAGCTTATGTTTTTTTTCTGCTGTGAAAGATAAAGCCAGCTATGAAATGAGCGTGTTCCTTCATTTTCCATGCGTGTCGCCATTGCTGTGATTCTGATGACACGGCCATGGTTTTGTAGAACACAACCCCCCGGGTGAATACGGCTGTGGGTTTTCATATGTCCTTTCCCTCATTCTCAGTGCCTTCAAAACATCTCTCTTTGCGTGATCGTGGTTCTTTGGCGGTGTCACATGCACCAGTGCTAATATGTTGCTTTTAATATCCTCAAAAGATAAATTCCATCCAGTCATTGGTCTGAGAGAGGTACTTTTCCAATTGCGCAAGCCGGGGCCGACACGTTGAGCTGTACGCCTGCGCAACATCACTCTGACGTGACGTAATTGATTGTGATGGAACACAGAATCTGAATTTCATTTTCAAACAACAGATTATGTTCACAAAGCACCACACATACAGGACCAATAAGACACAATCCTTCAGGGCTCTCTGACAGTCATGTTGAATAAAGATATATTTTGAGTATTTTGCCCGTGTTACATTTCGGTAAATCTTCTGCGGTGGATCCTATAAATATGAAAAGATTCACAGAACTGGCTTCACAGCAGTCTGGACACAATCCTATATTTGAGTAAGAACAGAGCTCCATCAAGCTCCTCTCTATTCAATGAGAGAATCTCAGGCTCAGATATAAACCCTGTTCAATTTCTTTCAAAGGAAATGATAGGATTTAACATTAATACTGTTCTATATCCTTTTATAGAGAATATCTGATGACTTGAGTCAGCAATGCGATTCTTATATACGATAAAAGTCCCGAATTTGATAGGCGGAGAGAGTCATTCATGTTAAAGGCTGTTCAGTGAATCATACTGAATGAATCATTCACAAGTTAGTATGATGTCGCTCCTCCTACATCAACTGACAGTACCTATCCGCATCTCCATCAGCTACAACCAGTGTAAGAAAGTGCTTCTCTTTGGAACAGGTGATCATTAAGTTTTTCCTCTGGAAAAGAACACCTAGTACAATAGATATGATCACACCTCTTTGTCTTGTCATGACATGCATTATGTAACCACTTTAAACCGCTGAATATTATAAGACAAACAGATGTGGACATTGCACCTTTTCCAGAGACCATTTATAGGCAGGACATGCTGTTCTCTACTTTCCTGGTTTCTTGAATTAACTTTTATCTACACCTTCTTCCATTCAGCCACACCAGACAACGCTCCTACATCAGATCACTAACCAGACCAATGACAGCTGTCTCCAACAGTAAAATGGGGATTATGCTCTCATCATCAAGTCCTAAAAATAAATCTTATCAGCTTACCTATGAGTCTACTGTTATCCAGCCTAGGGACATAGAAAGGTTTTTCACTGGAGGAGAACTTCATGTCTTGTCCTGGGTTGTGGAGTCCACTGCCACACCGCTTGGACACCGATTTGTCCCGTTGCTGGCTGTCTCTGATAACCTGTAAAATTAGATCCAAGAGGGTCCTTCTCTCTTTCTGCTTGACCTCTTTGCTGTCCATACACTGACCCGAGGTAATGAGCAGAAGGAATATAGTCAACAGTATGTGCCATTTCCTCTCCACCTGCATGGCTTCACGCTGTCTAAAAAAACAGAAGTAAAGAAGTTTGGTTGCAAAGAGGATTGCAGGGTTTCAAGTCAATGAAATAAAATATTCAATTTGTGCGATTCTTACACTTTAAACAATTTTAAAAAACTACCACAAAGCAGAATAGCCTTTGAATTCTTCCACATTTCAATAAAGATTTGAACATTTCCTGTCAAATTTGTAACTATTTACAAGAAATGGATGCTGCGTCGTAGATTACGCAGCAACCGCCTTTCATCAAATGCATTTCATGATTTTTTGTTCACTTACCAGTTGAGAAATTAAAGATGCTTATGTCCTAGAGAGCGGACACAGTTGTCTTGTGCAAATTCTCACAGGCGTTGTCTTTGGTTCCGATAAGAGAGAAAAGGAACAGCCAGCTGATAGTGCTCACCAACGTCTTTCTTCAAATCATGCGTTCGTATTTATACGGAGAGCCACCTTCTTGTAGGTAATACAATCGATTTCGTGTGGGTGGTAAAGCAATGTTGACATCTTCGGTGTAATTTCTTCCAGTGGCATTCGCTCACTTTGGCATGCGCCACTCCTTTACGCACCAAAACATCGCGAATTCCAGTTTTGCAGGACCATTTCAATCCATGCAAAAAATAAAACAAACTAACCTGTTGCTGAAAATGATGATTTAAGGTGTGAAAAAACGACCCCGTGAAATATTTTGGATTGAAAGACACGCACTACGCAAAAGAGACCAAAGCACAGACGCGCGCAAAGAAGTAGATGTCCAAAAGGAGCAACTTGTTGGATGTTGGATGCAGAGAACAGGAGAATCTGAGGGCCTGTAAGCTTCTAGCTGACCTGTCAGTGTGCCGATGTTTTTGTTCACTGATGTCCAAGTCTTGTGACCGCCTAAGCGCTGCAGGGAATGCGCCTCCAGGAGCACCCATCCGGCTACTTCCCCCCCGAACAGAGATCTATAAGGGTGATAGGGCTTGGAAGAATTATGTAACTATAGGAGTACATCTCATCGGTGTGAGGGTAACATTTACCAAAATGACAGATTGTGTTTCTCATAATGGTGGGAATTTATTAGGGCAGTTTCTGTTTAATTTGAAAAGTTATAACCTGCCCCAGAAACCGCTACGTAATCTATTACAAGGCGAAGATATGCATTTACTGGGAAACTTTAAATGCCCTGGAATTCAAAGACGTCCCCTTGTGGACTCTCAACTAAAGCTTCTTGCCCATTGAATGAATAAAAGCTAGAATTTCCTCAACTAATTATTATTAGTAATGTAGGAATCAAAGTATTATTATCATTATTATCATTATTATTATCATAATGTTTATTTATTTATTTTTTCAATTTTATTTATTTAGTAGTTGTTATTGTGGTTGTCATTTCACAAAAAGAGGTTTACTGAGAGGGAGTACTTTGCTTATATTTGAGATAATTCTCTTCTTAAGAGTCTGTTTTTCGGTACATCCTCGTTCTTTCTCTTCCCTGATGTGGAGATTGTGTTGTGTTATGGCCAACACGCACCACCATCCGTGGCACGGTGGCACACACAGCGGACGCGATGCCTGCGCGCGGCTGAAGTTGCGCACTAACTCCACCCGCGGAGGGAAACGCAGGGGCCGCGGACGGCCCGTGTCACCGTTGCCATGGAGACGGACCAAGCGGCAGGCAAACTTGGGGAAGCTTTTTTTCATGTTTCATACACTTTAGCCACCTTATCCCATCATTTCAGCTTGTAATTCGGGTTCTGTGGAGACGTCGTCATGTCCCAAAGGTAACATTTCTCAAACAGCGATAGCTTTCTTTTCTGTTTCGATAGTGCAATATCAGCTTTTCAAACGAAGTCAAATGAGCCATTAAAGAGCTGGGGGAAAGCTCGTTTGATGTAAATGATAGTAGCTAAATGAAATCACTTGGAAGGACAGTTAGCATCAAAATGGTTATAGCCATTAGTCAGCCACGTCTGGAATTTAAAAAATGCTATATTAAGGATAAAACTACTCTACAGGGAGGTTTTATGTGTGTAAATATCAGCTACTAATTGACTGGAAGCAAATAGGATGAAGCACTATGACTGCTTGGCTGTTCATTTTCGTCCTGTTTGACTTAAACTTGTCAACATGTATGTCATCTAAATGATAGCCCAGTTTGGCATCTAACTGTCATTTAATGATCATGGTTCAAGTGGCTTGACCCCGGCCTGACCCTCAGCTCATCAGCTTGTTTTCACTGTTTCAGGACTTACAACGAGCTCTGGGCAGATGCCCAGTTAGAGTTGAGCCGCCTTTTGACCGAAGAGATGCCTGCCGAGCCCCCCCGCCCTCAAAGGGACCGGGTGGTGTTCTTCCAGCGAGTGGCCTTGCTTTATGTGCGCTACATTCAAATCTTCAGGCACCTGGAAGAGGCCTACGAAATGATGATCCACCCTCAGAAGAGACGAGTCATTCGGAAGACCCTGGATGACATATTGGGGAGGGTGTTGGAGCTAAAGAATGAAATGGTGGACAAGGAGTTTTCAGAGTACCACTACATGGACGATGTCCTTCATGATTTGAAGCTCACGCCTGTAAGTCACCATCCGAATGACGACCGACTTTTTGCCGTGCTTCTGGTTTTGCAGAAGCAAAGAATCTTAATTGAGAGCTCTTTTTCCCAATTTTCTTTTTTTAGTCCCAGCTTGAGATCCCTATCCCTCGCTATTTTCTCAGTGAGCAAAGCCAAGATTTCAAACAACGCAAAGAAATGCTAATGGATATCCTCAAACTAGTGGAAGTCCCTGAAAGCGTTGATGTGAGTTGAAAATAATCCACTTCATGTCTGTTAAATGGAACACCAAAAAAATGTGCCATATAATGACTGTTCTTAATTTAACGGCTGCGTTCAGGGAGTGAATCAAAAGCTAAATATTTTTGCTCCTTTCTTTTCTAATATCTTAATGGTCCTTGCAGCCTATGATGGCCAAGGACATGACTCAAGAGGAAGCCATTAATGTTATTCAAGTGGCAGAGAGGGCACGGCAAGGGCGCGTCAGGGCAAAGTTGAATAAAGAAAGCAGAAATCTGAGTCGGAGGCATAGGACGGAGCCTGCTGGACCAGCTGCTTTTGAGTCGGCTGCCATCTGCATTCAAAAGGTCCTTTGTAGACACCTGATGCTGCATTCCTGGCTTTTGGCTCGAGTCATCCTTGATGCTCAAATAATTTGGTTGAGTTTTTTGCAGGTGTGGAGGGGCTACATACAGAGGAAGAGGACCAAGATTGCTCGAGAAGAAGAGATGATTTTTCTTGGAATGGTGAGCTATATTTAAAAAATGGGGATCAGCATTTTGGAAATTACGGAACGTGTCATCTCTTGAACTGAATGCAAATCATATCTTTCGGTGACGATCCCTTTTGAAATGATCTTGTCTTTCTGAGGTCCTTGATCGCGTCAAGCTGTTTGACCTGTTCAGTATGTCCGGGTTTCATTCATCCTAGGCAATGGAACCAAAATATTTGGAGCCATTACCTGCGGAGATCGCCGCCCGAGCCAATGAAGCTCTCCTCCGGGCTAAACAGGAGGAGCATGAGGAAGCTTACCAAAAGGCTTTAGAGACTGTCACAAACCAGATACGAGAAATGGAGGGTCACGACATGAGCAAGACCATGAGAAGCCAGATACGACAGTGGTTCTTTGAATGTCGGTAAGGCGGTAGACTTATTCAGATAGTCGGTAGGCAATATGATGAATCATGTTAGCCAATAAGTGTTTTTTGTTTTTGACAGTAATATGACAGGAGCATTCCCTGACTATCCAGAAGAAGAAGATGGAGGCTCAGCCCTAATTTTTGCAGAAAAGACTCCGCAGCAGGTAAAATGGTGGCTGTCAAAAGCATGATTCTAAGCAGTCTTTGGACAGTTTTAAATAGAGTGGCGCCGGGTGTGTTTGTCCTTAGTTATTGGAAGAGATTGCTGAGAAAGAAGAGGAGGAATCCACCAGTAAATCAAAAGGGAAAGAAGAAAAGAAAGAAAAGGGAAAAAAGGAAAAGGGGAAGGGGAAAGAGGATGAGGAAGTAAGTAGAAGCTGTTGTATTATATTTGGCGTTTTCTCCAGATTTTTTATGGAGCCCATCATTGTTGTTTTAACTTGACCAAACTCTGCTCTTAAATGCATCATTTCTGAACGGCAGGCGGAGGAGGCTGGGCTGAAGATGCTGCCTTCTGCCTTCCTGTCAGATTTAGAACAAGGAGACAAAATCTTTGTTGGTATGACTACATTTACACAGGCCAAAGTAACTGAGTGTAGCAATTTTTGTTTTTTACAGCTTCTTTAGCAAATGGATGTTGAACTCCTCCTGCCAGCATACTGAATTAAGATTGCATCCCTCTTATAGAGTTACAAATGTCTTTGTTCTTTATATTGTGGGCAGTAGAATCAGAGTGGGTGGGCAACGAGTACCTCTGTAATGACCCATCTCTTTGTGAGCATCGAAGTAACAGGTGCACATTATGATTTATGAAACCCAAGCTAAAAGTTTGCCACCTTCAGATTATTGGAAAACCCGAAATGAATCTGGAAACTTCAGCCAGAAGCACGAGGTGGAGTTGATTAAGGAGGAAAAGAGGAAGCTAATTGAAGACGAAATACGAGTGCAGGTATGAAACATTTCCGATAAATGACATTTGTAGACAATGAGTTATTAACCCATCACAGCAAAGTTGATTTTAGAAGGGAGGAGATTCACTATCTGTTCTTGAATACCAGGTAGATGAGCAGATGAGGCAAGAGCTGGCTGAACTGAAGCTCTCCGTGGACAAAGATAAGGGTGGTAAAACTAAAGGAAATGCCAAGGTATCAGCAGAACAGACAGCGGCCTAAATTTACACGCATCTCTTTGATCTGACTGCTGATTACATGAAACTACTCCACAGAAGAAGAAAGGATCTAAGAGTGGGAAGAAGAAGAAAAAAGAAAAAGATCTGACAGCTGACAGGTCAGATCCCAGAGACCCTGTATTTATCACATGGGATGGACGTCGTGCGTTTGGTATAAAACTTTTTAATGCTTTGTTCAAATTTGCCAGGACTCTTGAGTCTCTGTGTCAGGAGTTGGCGGAACAGGGCTTGTTGAAACAACCAAAAGATGTTAGGCTGCAGGATTACTTGGGTAAGACAGTGTACTTTTTTTCTAAGTAGACAGGTGACAACTATATGAAATCTCTTTGTCTTTGTCTTTCTACACTTTATGTGTAGGCACTAAATGGAACCCTCTTAACTAAACTTTTTGAGTATGAAGGACATCTGAAATGTTTTACGTGATGATTTGCCGCCCTCTTCTGGTTTGTCTTTTCTAAGAAAGTAATTACAATCTCTATGTACTTTACAATTCACTTTATGAATGCCGTCAAATGTGCTTATGAGGAGATGTTTTTCAGCTGTTGGATTATTGAAAGAACAAGATCATTTTAGGATAGTCTCAATTAGACAGGAACGATTCTGTAACTTTGTTCATCCCTCACATTTAAATATGTGCACGCCGAATAACAAAGCTTCACAGGGTTACCTTAAAAGAACAAATACAACTCAAAACTAAGCAATTCAACTTAATAAAATAATGGTTCGTTCCTAAATATCCTGTTAAACTCATGCTAGTAACAGCAACCAGTCTTTTAAAATTCTGGTCTTTAATATGTCACCAATAATATGTCTGTCTGTTTGTCCCTCCTCTTCTTAGGTGATTATAGTTACCTCGGGACCACTCTGAGGCAAAATGACATTGAGCCCATGCCATCATTGTCAGATGTGCGACAAATATTATCTTTATATGCAGTGTTGCCTTTAGGTATGTTCTAATGTGAAGAAAATAGAAGTCTTTATTGTGAAATAAATAAATGCTGTCAGTGCTTTTGTTCGCAGGCTCACAGGTAGTACACGAGAAGGCTCCTTTGATAAAGGCCATCCTGCTGGTTGGACCTGCAGGTGTCGGTAAAAAGATGTTGATCCATGCTGTGTGCCAGGAGACAGGCGCCACCCTCTTTGATCTGTCACCTCTGAATACAGCAGGAAAGTATCCCGGCAAGAGTGGCCTTACCATGATGCTTCACATGGTCTTTAAGGTAAGATGTATGTCGTCAAATAAATATTTAACTGTTTTAGTCTACTCACAAACAACACTTTTTTATTTTTATTTATTTGATCTGATGAATCAATTGATTGAGTCTGGATCTCTGCTGTAAAATAGGAAAAGTCCCTCTGTTTTTTGTGTTCAGAGTGAAGTTAAGCACTGTTTGTGATCATGTTGTTCCATTAATATTCAAATGCTTTGATTATCTCTGGTGTATGATTCTGCTTATCTTTGCATAACATACATTGAATTTGCCTCCTGCATTGGCTTGACTTGATAATTATGTAAATATCACACAGGTTGCAAGACTTATGCAACCCTCTGTAATATGGATTGAGGATGCAGAAAAAATGTTCTACAAAAAGGTTCCCAAGGAAGAAAAAGAGGTACCCAAAACCAAATGAATGCAAACTGTGATTGTCATGTTGTAAAAAGAATTCCTCATGTAACCACATGATCTTTCCTTTCTGCTTGTGTCTATAAACAGTTAGACCCTAAGCGGCTGAAGAAAGATTTGCCTAAGTCTCTGAAACTGATCAAAGGAGAAGACCGGGTCCTGATAATAGGAACAGCTAAAGACCCACAAAGTGCTGATATTAAGTCATTGTGTAAAATGTACAGCAAAATCATCCTCATCCCGAGACCTGACTACGGCTCAAGACTCAGTAAAAAACGAGCTCCTCATTTTTCATAATTGTTTTGTGTTGAGGTGATAGAAAACCTGACCTTTGACCCTGTTTAACTTCAGTCTTGTGGAAGCAGTTGATCAAAAAGTCAGGAGGTGAAGTGACCAAGGCCTTGGACCTCAGCTCCCTTGCGAAGATATCCGATGGCTACACCCCAGGTCACATGGTCAAAGTTATCCAGAGTGTCGTTACCAAGCGTCGCATCTTACAGCAGGTGAAGAGGCCGCTGACCGCTGCCGAATTCGTTCCCCCATTAGCCAAGATTGACCCAGTGTTTCAGTTGGAGGAAGAGGCATTGAAGGTAAAAAGGGTTAAAGGGTTTCTTCTTTTATACCTCATTTCTGTAGCAGATGTTTGACAGTTTTTCCCTTTGTCTTGTATCTCTGAAGAACTGGTATGCAAAGACTCCCCTGGGAAAGAAAAGAAGCAAAGCTGCCGCTGGAAAGGAGGAAGAAAACGCACCAGCTAAAGGCAAAGATGCAAAAAAGAAAAAAAAATAGATTTGCTATGCCGTTTTTTTCTCGAACTGAACAGAACATTACATCTAAGGCAATAAAAAATGTTGCTGTGATAACACTGTTAAGTTTACTGCACCTCTGACAAAATAAAGAGCCAACAATGATCGGGTCAGTCTCCATAATGTGTGTCAGAGGATTGCAGGCTCTTTGGTTTTTGTTGTACCGGTATAAAAAGCTTCCAACTTCAGGAAAAGTCCCACCCTGCTGTTACCTCGACCTAACTGAGACGGACAGTCTGAGAAACCCATTTCTGTCACATGACCAGCGTATGAAGAATGTGTGAACTGTAATCTTTGTATAACCTCTCTAAAGGAGATTTACTTTTAAGCTGCGGGATGGCTGATGCTGACAAAAATCACTCCTCTTTCTGAACGTGAGTAGGTTGTGTCTGATGAACACACTCCACCGGCTATAATTAGCACTGCAGTTTCACTTGCTTCCATCAAGGGCGTCTAACATGATGCCATTGTACAGCTGTGGCTGCCTGGCTCTAACATGTCTTCATGTACATGTTGTCAGGGATGTTTTGGACAGAAATGACCATTTATCATGTCATGTAAAGCAACATCTTTGCTTTCAGGTTCCCTGGTCAAGGGTCAGTGTCACTCCAGAGATGACAGCTATACTTGAACGTCTTGAAAAATGTGAGCTAAACATTTTCCTTTGATACGGCTGCGGCCTTGTCATATGGACATTCTGAATGAGGGGAGATGTGGGACACGGAGGGCGGGGTGTTTCCAAACATGGATGCAGGGGCTTAGGGGGAGCGGTCAGCTGTTTTGTCGAGTTCTAAATTCACTCTCAGATCTTCACATTGCACCGGTTCCTTTAACATTTCTCTATTCTTAGTGTGCCCTGTCGATACGCCTTCCACACAGAGCTCAGGGACAGGACAGTGATTTTATGGTTCGCATCTTTAGTCCTTCCGGAAAACAACACTGTCTAGCCTTCAAAACTCTGTTGTAAATCACCCCCTCACGTCCTCCCTCTCTCGTACCTTCGTCAAAATCGATGACAGCGCTGTAAAGAACGGTCGGGTGGAAGCCTCAGACGTGGGCCACCGCTCTCCCCTCAGTGACGACAAGTTGTTTTTTGTGCCCCCGGCAGGAGTCCACAGAGATTATCCTGTTGATAGAGTTTCACAGGACTTAGGAGGGCTCCGCGGCACATGGAGCTGTCCGTCAAAAGGAGGTGCTGTCATTGCTAGATGCTGCAGGCTTTGTTCAGTCTGGGGGATGGAATACAACGAGTTATACTACCACTGTTTAAACAATTATTGAGAGATGGGCAGGCGTTAGCACTTCCAACATTACATCTGTTCTCTGCTGCTTTTACATGCTTTGAGGCTTTTTTAGTTACTCAGAGTTTGGGTTTCTTTATGGACACATGACATTTGATTTAGATCAGATTTTGTAGGACAGACTAGTTTGTATCTATTTGGTAGATCACAGAACCATTGGAGACTTCATTTTCTGGACTAACTAATGATGAGTCCATGAAATGGGAGCTTTATATTGCTTAATCTTTCGTGACCTTTTGGTGGAAATTCCCTGTGGAGATCCAAGGACTTTGATGTTTCTGGCCAGTGATTTAAGCCACTGAAGGATGTCGGCCATGAGTTTAAAGAGTATGCGATCAAACAACATCCCCCTTATGGGGCATAAAATGCTCGGCCCAAACTGTGCTTTTATATGATTGTGTAAGAACTGGAGTGAGAAAAATTAGCTGTATTCCATCTTTCTTCTTATTGTGTTTGTCACTCCCTCATGGAAACTGAACAAACCATCAAATACACAAAGCTTGTGGTACAAATTGGATTGTTTTTGTTGGTTCAATTGATGCTGAACACAAGTTTCCTCGCACCTTTAAAGCCAAAGCTATCTTTGCCCTGGTACTGACAGAATGCTATTTTGGAAGTTAGTATGTGAAGAGAGATATGTCAGCTGTTCAGCACCATGCCACATCACGGGAGGAAGAAACAAAAAAAACAAAAAAGAAACCGACAGGGGTACAGGCGCAGCTTTGGGGACGGGGATGGAACGACCCAACCTGGACTTGCTCTTTGTTGGCTGAACGTTTGCTGTTAATCTTAAAGGCTTTGTGAGAGACAAAACAAGACGTGGACCCGATCCGTTGCCATGGTGCATGTTTCCGCCTGTTTTTCAGGTGAAGGTGTTTATTTTTTGGAAGTCCAGCCACAGGAGGGAATGCAGACACCTGTCTGAGTGGAAGGTAGGTGAATCACTGCAGGTTCTCGGAGAAGTATCCACAAATTATGCTCTGTTTGTTCAAATCCAGGGGGCTCAGTGGACATCGATGTTGACTCTTGATGGAATTTACAGTGGAAACATTTAGAAAGTTGAATCAAAGTGCAGTTCATCTACAACAGTAGATGACCTATTGCACCATCAGCTGCTTCTCATACATTTTGTCTTGCTTATCTAATGCTCTTTTCTGGTAATTTTTAGCTTGCACAGGAGGAATGATCAGGTCTTTATGCGTAATGTAGATAGATGCTTGCTATCATATTGTCATGTTTTGGTGTATGATGTTATGCCATAGTAGCTGGTGCGAAATGAAGGAGACTGACCGTTTTCCTGGAGTAAGGCACGGCAGAGGGAGGAGCCATCATCTGACTCTTAAAAACCTCAAATCAGCTCTTCGTTTGTTTCTTTCTTTTTTGTTTTCTTCAATGCTGCCCTTGTTTCTGTGCCTGCCGTATGCAGCCCGATGGAGGTGGCATCACAGCTGAGTCTATATTGGTGGTGCTGATCTCAGCCGAGAGAAGTGACAGAGATTACTCGGCATACTATCACAGGGATCAAGCACAAGCGATAGAGACCATGTGTATCCATTTTGACAAGCCGGTCTTGCCATTTTGGAAGTGGTAGTTTATCATTTTTAAGCCAGAACTAAATGTATGTAGCATGTGGGATAGGAATGGGACTAAAAATGTTATTTTACATATTGTGTGTATTATGTGTTCACACTTTGGTGCAACCTTGAATCATCCTGAAAATAACTCAATGCGATTGTTGTCCTTTTAGCCCATGGCACCTCCTGATTTGTCCGCATGTTTATTCCCTGCAGTTGGTGCCCATTTGCTGTAGTAGACAGTAAATATTCCCCAGTCGCTCTACAAAACAAGCAGGAGGTATGGGGGACAGTAAACCTGGAGGACTAGTCGCAGCTGCGAGTAAGTCTTCTTGATAGCAACTTTGAGAGTGATTTTTGATCAAGGTAAGAAGCTTTCTAATCTCCAATGCTGTTTGCCAGTAAACCGCCTGCAGGTGGTAAGGGGACTGGAAGATGTGGAGGTGTCTGAGTGTGAGAGCTGTTGCTTTGAGGTGATTCTCAACCTGGCCTACATAGAAGGTGTGTGGACCAGGGACGGGACGCAGGTTAAATCCAAGCCGAACTGTCGCATCAGCACTCATGGGAAGAAACACTGCCTCATGCTCAACCGGGTGGCCTTAGGAGATGCCGGTCTGTTCTGCTTTCAGGCCAATGGCATTCAGACTTCAAGCCTACTCAGTGTCAAAGGTAAGCTCAAATACTTCCACAGTGACTGGATCAAATATGGCTGCGTCCCTGTTTTTAACGACTACATATCAGATTGGAAATCAATTTGTTTTAGACAATTCTGACTCCAAACAGAACATCAGTTACCAAAACAGCTGCAGGGCCCAGTTTGGTTTCTTTCTGTAAGTTCAGTCATTGTGTCGATATTTTATGCCAGCTAGGGACATCCGAATTGTGAAGGAGTTGGAAGATGTTTCTACTACCGAACGTCAGCCCGTGAACTTCGTTTGTGAGGTCAACCAGGAGGACGTGGACGGTCGGTGGTATCGGGATGAGAGCAGGATTCGACCTGGAGACACCATCAAGATCAGGCATCAGGGTGGGGGATCACTTGTTTGGGACTGTAGTATTTGCTTTATTGACTCAATTATCTATTCAAATCCTGTTCCAGTATCAATGTGCATCAATGTGATTTCAGGAAAAACTCACTCCCTGATGTACAAGTCAGTCAGGCCAGTGCACGCAGGGGAAATCCGATTCACTGCAGAGCGTGTCTCATCCTATGCAACGCTTAGAGTGAAAGGTGAGTCACCAGACTCACAACTAATGCTCGATAAGAGGCAGTATTTACAGGATTTTTTTTTACCATATTAAGTTAGCTAGTAATGAGGTTCTTGTCTTCAGAGCTTCCAGTCCAAATAGTACGTCCCCTGAGGGTCAAGATCGCCATGTATCGTCACCGAGGTCTTCTGGAGTGCCAAGTGTCCCGACCCAATGCTCAGGTCAGGTGGTACAAGAACCGGAAGGAGCTCCTGCCCAGCAAGAAGTACCAACTGGTCAGCCAAGATGTGTACAGGCAGCTGACCATCGAAGACGTGTGCTCTTCAGATGAAGACACTTACATGTGTGACGCAGGAGATGACAAAACTTCATGCCAGCTTCTGGTGGAGGGTGAGAAATTTGCTTCCACAGTTCATCAGCTGCACAGGTTTTTTGTGTGACAGAATATTATACGAATAGTGATTTATATGCTGAGCAATGTTTGTTAGATGATGAGACATTTTAGAAGCGTGATATGTTTTTTTTTATTTGCTAACTGTCGCAGCAGGAGTGGGTTTTGTCACCTTAAGATTTGAGAGTGCAGTCTTGGTCATTTGCATTATTGTTGTGTATGCAGAGCAGGCCATCAGCATAGTACGGGGGATGAAATCGGTGGAGGTCATGGAGCCAGAGCCCGCACTATTCCAGGTCGAAACCAGCCTGAAGTCAGGAAGGCCCCCGAGGTGGACTCTGAAAGGCGGGGTTCTGGAGCCCAGTGCAGAGGTGAACATTGAGAGGGAGGGCACCCTCCACAGCCTCTGTTTCACAGCCACCGACAGCTCCATGTCAGGGCCTGTAGTCTTTATAGCGGGGAAGAGTCGCTCCACTGCTCAGCTAACTGTGAGAGGTGAGTCCTTGAGAAAATGATCTAAATAACTAATTAATTAATTAATGTAAAACTCACAGCAAAGATGTCAAACTTTACTCAAGTCTTTAAAGGCTTTCAGGTGACCATCAAACAAAAAGCTTTTGTGTGTCTGCCCAGGATTTACACTCACTACAGAGCTCGGCTTGTTTAACACTGAGAATTGTTTGCAGGATAAGATTAATAATGATTAAAGAGCCAGAGCAGATAGATTCCCTTTTTTTCTGCATGAGACAAAATATTTTGTTCTAATGTGATGAATAAGGAAAATCAATGTGGCCCTCTGGGTGTCCCCCGTTTACTGTCCCTCCATAGAGCGACCTCTTCAGGTTGTTCACCACATGGATGACATGGAGGCGAAGGAGAACAGCTCTGTGACCCTAAGCTGCAGGTTTGCCCCCTCTCCCAGAGTCGTGCGTTGGTTTAAAGGTCGCACAGCTCTAAAGACCTCTAATAAGTACAGCATGAAGCGAGAAGGGAAGCGAGCAGAGCTGCTTATTCATGGATTGACAGAGATGGATGCAGGACAGTACCGCTGCATGGCTGGAGGTTCTCAAAGTTCAGCGCAGGTAAAGGTAGAAGGTACGTTAACCATCAACTGGAATTGCGAACTGATATAACTGTGTTGAATCTTTGTTGTTTTTTATGCACTCACTTTGTTTATTTCATAGTGAAAACGCTGAAGATGGTCAAACACCTGGAGTCGGTGGACATTGAGGAGGACGGCATTGCCACTTTCTCATGCGAGCTCAACTATGTGGTTGCCAATGCGGAATGGCTCCTAAACAATGTCCGCCTCTACTCCAACGCCATCAGCAGGATGCAGCACATGGGCACAATGCACAGCCTCATGATGAAGAAGCTCCGGCCTCAGGAGAGCCTGATCACCTTCAAAGCAGGCGCCCTTACGGAGACCACCACCTTAAAAGTCAAGGGTAAGATACTGAATACAGGCCGACCCAAAAGAAGGAAACAATGATGCTAATGAACTATAATTTTCCCAAACTGTTTTTCAAACTGTTTGCTTTTCTAAAACACACAAAATGCTGTTGTGTTCAGAGCGCCCAGCAGTGTTCCTCAGGTCTTTGGAGGACGCCGTTGGAGAGGAGCAAGGGGACGTTTGCTTGCAATGTGAAATTTCCAAAGATTCAGTGACACCTGTTTGGAGAAAAGATGGTGTGATCCTGGCAGCTGATGACAAACACGAGATTCTCCAGCTTGGACGGTCCATGGCGCTCATCATTCATTCACTGACGAAGGACGACGCTGGACAGTACACCTGTGATCTGGGCACTAGTCAGACCAAAGCTAAAGTTACAGTACATGGTGAGTATGAGAGAAATGATAAGGTTTGAAAGTCAGAGACACTTATGTGAGAGCTCATTTATCATCTTATGCATTTACAGACCGACACGTTACCATTCTCCAGCGTATCAAGACATCTTCTATCCTAGAGGGTGAAAACTGCACGTTTGAATGCCAGCTCTCTCATGACCTGGATGATGAGCCTTCCTGGACAGTTAATGGCCAGGTGGTGGTTACAAACAGCCGTATTCAGCTCATCAGCAATGCTCGCAAGTATAATATGACCATTAGAGATGCTGTTCTTACCGATGCTGGGGATGTGGTCTTCACAATAAAAGATCTGAGCTGTAGGACCATGCTTTTTGTCAAAGGTATCTTGAAGAATGTCATACATTTTTAGTTGGACATAATTGGTCTATTAACTCAGAATAGACCAATTCTGGTTGAAAATTGAGAGTGTTTCTCCTCATCCAGAGAAACCAGTGCATATCTTCAGGGACCTGCTGAATGTGAAGGCTGTGCCTGGAGAGGATGCAGAGCTGAGCTGTGAAATTACCAAACCAGAAGCCACCATCCGTTGGCTAAAAAATGGCCACCTCATGAGAGAAAGCCCAAAGTACGAAATGACAGTGGAAAAGAATGTGGCACGACTGGTGATAAAGAATACCGCCATCAGAGACTCTGGGGAGTACTGCTGTGAGGCAGATGGCGTCGCCTCCCGTGCCAAACTGGACATCAGAGGTATTTTCTATTTCCTTTTTGTTTAGTACATTCTTCTTTTTAAAGAAAGTCTCACTGAAAATGTGACATGTGGGATAGAAATAAACATACAATTTACATTTTGTGAAATGTGAATTTTTTAAGTGTTTTGTGCTCAGACACAAAGACTTTGTATCCTTTTAAATGGAAAGAAGGCCATAGATTGAGATATAGCCAAATTTATACAGTCTAAAATACATAAACACAGTGTTGCCAAGATAAAAGTAAACATGATTCCTCGTATGATTTTAAACTTTAACTTGCTCATTTCATGTGGAACATGGTTTCTTGTGTGAGTAGCGATTCTAGAGCTTCTATTTAGTTAATGCTTTTGGAGATGAATAAAAAATGGAATCTGCTTGACCCAGTCAAGGTAAAAATTAACTGCACACAAAGATTTCATGAGCACAAAACGGAGTGGCAGAGATAGAGGCACCCTTTCAGGAAAACACACAAGCTCACTGCAGCCCGAGTTTCTGCGTCAAATACTTAAATGCTTATTCCTCAAGCCTTTAAGAAGGGGATGTCCCCCTGGGACGGAGTTAAGATTACCAGACTTTGCGTTTTGTTTCAGATCTCCAGCACACATTTGCAAGAGAACTGAGAGACTCCCGAGCAGAGGAAAAGGGGAAGGTGACGCTGGACTGTGAGACCAGGCGGCCTGCCAAGTGTGTGACCTGGCTGAAGGGCATGGTGGAGCTGAGGTCTGGCAGGAAGTATGTCATTAGGCAGAAGGGGGTGGTGCTGTCCCTAACCATCAACAGTCTGGAGAAATCGGACACTGATGTTTACATATGTGACGTTGGGACCATGCAGAGTCGAGCGCAGCTGACGGTACATGGTGAGCTTACCCACATCTAAGTTCAATCAGCTCCAGAGATACTTCCATTAAGTTAATACTCAGCAGTAGAAGTTGAACATGTTCTTTCAACATATACAGGATCATAAAACTGACACACTGATACAATTTAATTATCCTTTTTTTCTGATACGAGGCCTAAACTTGCATACATTTTCGGCCGTAGCATTATGACCGTTGACCATTAAAACCGAGAAACACTGTTACTGAAAATTATATATGCAATATATGAAGACCCTCCTCACAACTCTCACAGGGCTTGAGGGATCCTTCACTCTTTGTAAAAGACACAAAAAAACATTTTCAGATGTTCTCTGGTCATACCTAGACTGGAAGGAAAGGACACACTAATAAGCATAACGATGGTCATAATGTTATGGCTTGTCAAATAGGCTGATCAGTAAAATATAAATGCTTTTAGGTACAGCTCTAAGTTGCTTATATATCTGTTGTTTTTGTTTCTCTTCCATCTCAGGCCAGAAAGTGTTGATTTTGGATGAATTGGAGGATGTGGAGTGTCTGGAGGGGGACACTGTCACATTCAGGTGTCGAATTTGTCCCAGCGACTACCCTGGAGTCAAATGGTATCTTGATGAGACTTTGCTTTACACCAATGAGCTCAATGAGATCCAGGTGGTTCCAGGGGGCTACCACACTCTCACCTTTAGGCAGCTTGCTCGTAAAGACACTGGCACCATTTCCTTTGCAGCAGGGGACAAACGATCGTATGCCTCACTGTTGGTTAGAGGTAAGGTTTGGACTTACCTGTGAGTTTTAAATGTACGATATCCTATCATTTTTGATTCGGTGTTGATCAAGCTCCCTCTTTTCATGGATCCAGAGAGGCGCCCCACCATTATCAAAGCACTAGAGGACTGTGAGGCTATAGAAGGAGGAGGCTTGGTGCTGTCCTGTGTGACCTCCAAGCCGTGTCACATCCTTTGGTACAAAGACGGATGCCTGATGTGGAACTCCTCCAGATACTTTGCCAGTCGTTCTGGCTGTGAAGCCCGGCTGACCATTCGAGAGGTCTGCAGCAGTGACGCTGGGGTATATGAATGCAGCGCTGGATCTGTTACGACTAGGGCTGTTGTCACAGTCAAAGGTAAGAATTTTATAACTTAAGACTGCTTAAATGGACTAAAGGTTTGTGGTGGTTGATGGAGAATATACATCCCTTCTTTCCAGCCATCCCAGCAGAGTTCACCCAGCCTCTGAATGCCATGGAGGCCAAAGAAGGAGAAACTGTTACTTTAACCTGTGAGTACTCTCTGCCCGGGGTCCAGTTCCACTGGAGAAAAGGTTTCGAGAATATAAGACCTGGAGACAAGTATTTGACAAAACAGAGGAAGACGATCATTTCGCTTACCATCAAAGCTCTGACCCCTGATGACTCAGGACAGTATACGTGTGAATGCAGACAGCATCAGACAACAGCAAGCCTCCGAGTACACAGTAAGCTATTTTTTAAGCTATGCTTTTTTACCAAAAAGTTAAACATTTCTGCAAAGAAAATAAAATAAATAGAAAAGGAACGGCGCAGTTTGGCACAGCTTGAATGCTTTGCTGCACAAAAACTTTAAAAACTCCAGAAATATGACATTGAAAATTGAAAAACCAAATGAAAATGGAGAAACCGACTACAATAATCGAATTCTACAATAATTAACATCAATGTGCTTTGCAACATATTGTATATTCTGTGTGGTCATTATAGCGTCACCACATTTGTTACAGTCATTCTTTTTTTTAAAAATTACATTTTAGGTTTTGTATTTGTTTGCCAGACTCCTGATGGTTTTTGGTCATTTAACAACGTCTCTTCTTGCGTTTCCCAGCTGTTCCCATCACATTCATCCAACAACTGAAGAACATACAAGCTGAGGAGGGCAGCAGTGTCGTATTGCGCTGTGAAATATCCAAACCTGGAATACCTGTCGCGTGGACGAAAGGGCATGAATTTCTAAAGAACGGGGTTAAGTACCAGATGAGGAAAAGAGAGACAACCCTGGAGCTCCTGCTATGGAAGCCTGTGCCTGAGGACAGTGGCGTCTACAGCTGTGTGTGTGCTGATCAGGCTACATCTGCCACAGTCAAAATCACTGGTAAGGAATCACCGACCGACAAGCTAATGCTTCAGGTGTGATAATAAACCAGGGACAGTTACTATCAATGGTTATTTTCCCACTCTATATCTGCACACAAGCTCTACCAGTCACCTTTAAGCAGAAGCTGAGGAACGTGTTGATCGAAGAGGGCAACACGGCAACATTACGCTGTGAGCTGTCCAAACCGGGTCACTCTGTGGAGTGGATGAAGGGGGGTGATGAACCCATCAGGAATGGAGAGAAGTACCACGTGCGGCAAAGAGATATGCTGATTGAACTGAGGATCTTGGATGTGACACCTGAGGACAGCAACATCTACACATGCATCTGCGGAGACATCGAGACCACTGCCACTCTAACTGTGAATGGTAATGCCGCTCAGTGTTTTTCCCTGTTTTTTCTGTCTATCTGATAGGAAAAGTGGCCTGTATGCATCAAAAACTGATGGAATGAAATAATGTTTTTCATTCGGAAACTAATTCCAAAGAGAAATTGGAGTTATCCGATTGCAACAAATACAAAAAATTACATTTTACTCACACAAAGACACGTCACACAGGATGAAATAAATGCCACTGAACAATGTGGCACAACAAAACAAATAAGAAGGCTCAGCTTGCTTTTTTTGTCCCTTTCAGTTCTTCCTGTCACCTTCAAGCAAAAGCTGAAGAATCTTCAAGTTGAGGAAGGACACAACATCACACTGCATTGCGAGATTTCCAGAGCTGGTGTCCCGGTGGAGTGGAGACTTGGGGGAGAGCTGTTGGAAAATGGGGAGAAGTACCAGATGAAACAAAGGGACTCAACCTTGGAGTTAACCATCAGAGATGCTGTTCCAGAGGACAGTGGGGTCTACACCTGCGTGTGCAGGGAGCTGAAAACAAAGGCCACTGTAAAAGTTATTGGTATGTAGGTTTGAGGGGGTGCACAGCGAGGCTGCTCTGTTGCATGTCATGTGGATTTATTTATTTATTTAATTCTATAGCTGCTTCAGCTGTTCTCAGGTTTCCTGTGTTTTTTTTATTCCAAAAGAGGTACCTGCTACATTTAAAGTGAGCCTAAAGAGCCTGGAGGCCACAGAGGGGAACAGCGTGACGCTGCAATGTGAGCTGTCAAAGAAGGGAGCCCCAGTTCAGTGGCAGAAAGAGGGTCTGGCGCTGTCTGAGCAGGTGTCTCGGGGAAAGTACGAAATGAAGTTAGAAGGAAAGAAAGCTTCGATGACCATTTTGAACGTGCAACCAGAGGATGCAGGGAAATACAGCTGCACCACAGGAGATGAGAAAACCACTGCGGAGGTCCGAGTGAAGCGTAAGTTTTAAGACTGATGAAAGAGCAAATATCAATTGACTTTCATGTTTTATGTTTAGATTTTAAGAAGCGTTAAGATATCTTGAAAAACTGGCACCAAACAGGTTTTTCTTATTCTGCCTGAAACAGCGCTTCCTGTCACCTTTAAACGGGAGCTCCAGCGCCTGGTGGTTAAGGAGGGGGACAGTGGGGTTTTCTGCTGTGAGCTCTCCAAACCTGGTGCTCCTGTGGACTGGAGGAGAGGACGAGTCTTGCTTAAACCCGGAGAGAAATATGAGATGCAGCAAGAGGGACGTGTCACAAAACTGATCATCAACAACGTGGAAGAGAGCGATGCTGGAAAATACACCTGTAAGACCAAAGACAGCCAGTCCTCTGCTGAACTCATCGTTCAAGGTGAGACAGAAATGTCGCATCCACAACAAACACAAATCCGAGCGCAGTCTTGCCTTTGTTTTTTTGGTAATTTTCTTCTGTCTGTTGTAAAAATTGCTGTGTACCATGTATCCAACAGAATCTCCTAAGCGCAGACGTCAAAGAGGTCAGCCACAAAAAAGAAAAAGGAAACAGTATAGACCTAGTTTGAGTGTGTGAGCTCCATTATTTAGAATCATGAAAAACCCACTTTTGTCATTCTGTTCATGGCTTGATGTCACGGTACAGTGTGTGCTGCACATTACTCCTGAAGTCTTAAGCAGATGTTCACCTCACCTGAACTTTAGCTACAGCTCCTCTAGTGAATTTAAATTTCTTCATGTAAGTCAGATTACATGTCTCAGTAGTGGTCAATTGACCCATTGAATTATAATGGATTATTGTGTAATCTGTTATAATTGGATTATGATCTGAATAGATATCAATGATTGTGAGCATGACACCTCCTATCATTCAAATCATTTCTCCATTCACTTTCATTTTGGGAAGAGGTTTCATCATCACGGACGCTGGATCTTAAAAAAAACAAAAAAGACACAGACTGAAAATCTTTGTTTGGTTGCTGACAGCTCTGCCGCCTAGTTTCAAGCTCCCACTGGTCAACCAGGAGGCAACCGAAGGCAACAGCGTGGTTCTCCGCTGTGAGCTCAACAAGCCCGCTCCGTCGGTGGAGTGGAGGAGAGGGGCGGAGCTGCTGACGAATGGAGACAAGTACCAGATGAGGAAGAAAGATCTGCAGGTGGAGATGAAGATCGCCGAACTCAGCTTGGAGGACTCTGGAGAATACACCTGCATATGTGGAGAAGAGAAGACAGAAGCTCAGGTCACTGTGAATGGTGAGCACGGCTGACAAAATCAAGATGATCAAGTTTTTTTTAATGGTAGAAGATGGTGAGATGAGTAGCGACATTTGAATTTTCAAATAATCATCAAATTAAAAAGCAACGTCCCTAGTTTTACAAATACACCATATGTATTAACATATGACTAAAATGTCTCAGCAGCAATGCAGACACATCCTGTAGATTAAGTTTTGCAAAAGATTTTTTACAAAACCACTCAGAATCAGATAAACAGACATGATGGACTGAGGATGAAAATTTCTGACTTGAGCTACCAGGTACTTTGTTTCTGCCCAGTATATGCATTCACCAAAAAAGCAACTTTGCTATATGGTATGACCCCATGGTTTACAAATGAATCCCACATTTTGCATTGTACACAATATTTAGAAATATTTAATAGGTAAATATATGTAGGTGTGATTTTAGAGTTAATAAAGTTGTAAAATAAAATTACATTTTATTTCAAGTTGTAGTTTTATGGTTGTAGTTTTTTTTCTTGGATACAATTGTCCTTTTTTTTTTAGGTAGTGCAATTATGGTCATTCCAAAGACAACCACCCTCATATACATGTCCACAATTTCAGTATTTCCTCTTTTATTTTTTTCCTTCTAGAGCGACCCATCAAGTTCCTCCATGAACTGAAGAATATACAGGTGCAGGAAGGCAGTGGAGTGACACTCCGCTGTGAGCTGTCCAAACCGGGGGTCCCAGTGCAGTGGAACAAAGGAGGTGATGTGCTCACCAATGGAGAGAAATACCAGATGAAGCAGAGCGGCTCCACCTTCGAGCTTCTCATCAGGAAAAGCCTCCCAGAGGACAGTGGGACATACAGCTGTGTTTGCGAAGATATCAAAAGCACAGCGACTGTCATCATCACGGGTGAGAAACATAGAAAAAGGTGGCAAAAAAAAGCATAATTCGTCCTATTCATCGTTTTTGCAAACTGTCTCCCTTCAGCCATCCCAGTAACATTCAAGCAGAAGCTGAAGAACCAGGAAGCATTGGAGGAGGGTTGTGTGACATTGCGCTGTGAGCTCTCTAAACCTGGAGTCCCGGTGGAGTGGAGGAAAGACGGGCAACTGCTCAAGGAGGGGCAGAAATACCAAATGAAACAGGAGAATCGGGTGGCTGAGATGTGGGTTAAAAACGTAGCTCTCCCAGATGCTGGGGAGTACAGCTGTTTTGCTGGAACTGTCGTAACTTCTGCTGACATCAGAGTGAGAGGTATGCCTCAGGGCTGTTGCACATTTAGACACTGATTGTGTGTTAATTCTGTGTCTGAACATTTGTTTTCTGTAGCCCTTCCTGTAACATTTAAGCAGAATGTTGAGAACTTGGAGGTGAAGGAAGGGGACAGCGCGCTTTTCTGCTGTGAGATCTCCAAACCCGGAGCCCCCGTGGACTGGAGGAGAGGACGAGTTATCCTGAAGCCCGGCTACAAGTACGAAATGAAGCAGGAGGGAGACGTTGTCAAACTGCTCATCAACAACGTGGAAGAGAGTGACGCAGGAAAATACACCTGCAAGACTGAAGACAGCCAGAGTACTGCGGAGCTCACTGTCAAAGGTCAGGACATGTTACAAAACACCAAAAACATCAACAAAATATAGACAAACCTTCCGAATTAAGATCCAGTAAAACAAAACAGAGGGGAAACGATAACTCGTCTTCCATTTTTCAGCTCCACCGGTGACTTTCAAGACGAAACTAAAGAACCAACAAGTGGAAGAGGAGAACAACGTGACGTTGAGCTGTGAGCTCTCTAAGCCTGGCCTCGCTGTCGAGTGGAGGAAAGGAAAGGAGCTCCTGAGAAACGATTTCAAGTACCAGATCAAAACCAGAAATAGCGTTATGGAGCTGACCATCAAAAACACACAACTGGAGGACAGTGGACTCTACAGCTGTATCTACGGGGATGGCAAGACCACAGCTAATGTCACAGTAACACGTAAGGGGAGATTTTACACGTGCTTTTGCTTCTTTTTAAACTTTAAAAATGATGGGCTTCTCAAAAGGGAATCATCACAGAAGGAATCTTAATCCTAAATGAAACAAATAGTTGATTTTTATAGTAATGTTTTTGCATCAGTTCACTTTGTTGACATGTTTTGTCGAGCATGTAATGTCCCTTCAGCAAAGTCAGGATTGCTTACCCTGACTTTTTGTAGATGTTAATCCTTAAACTGGCACTCAACCATGCAGAAAATCTTAGCTATGAATTGTTTTTACAGGAAAAAATATCCATTCTTTCAATCTGGGCAGGGATTCGATTAACTTTTTATGCCAAAAAATCTACAATTCATGTTACAATTCAGGCAAAGTTTTATTTTTCACCTCTCACCACAGCCATTCCCCTGACCTTTAAAATGGGCCTGAAGAACCAGGAGGCCCCTGAAGGAGGTAACGTCTGCCTGCGCTGTGAGCTGTCGAGGGCTGGTGTGCCTGTGCAGTGGTGGAAGGGAGAGGACCAGGTCTACCATGGAGGAAGATACCAGATGACTTTGAAGGGGAAGGTTGCTGAAATGACCATCCGAAACATCCAGCCAGAGGATGTTGGCGAGTACAGCTGCCTCTTCGGGGGCCAGAAGACGACGGCAGAAGTGAATGTGAGAGGTACTGGAGATTTGTTTTACACGACACTGTACAACATATTGAGCTCACACACACAAATTTATTGCAGCAGCTCTTTGACATCAAGTCATTAAAAACCTTTTACAGGTGAAACTCCTTTTTTGGTGCAATGTGCACAAAGCTGATGAAGTTATATTACACATTGGCATGCCATACATATATATATTTATAGGGTGATAATTACCTTCAGTCACATGATGTTGAAATTTTTCTTTTCCCTCTCTAACCAGCGGCAGCATCTGTCTTCTTTGAGAAGGAACTTGAGAACCAGGCAGTGATGGAGGGAAAATCTGTGCTGCTCTCTTGCGAAGTTTCCAGTGCCACTGTTCCCGTCACTTGGAAGAAAGACAATGCTGTGGTGGAGGAAGGAGGGCGTTACATTGTAAAGAAAAAAGGCCCTTTTCACACTTTGGAAATACACAAACTGCGCTTGGAGGATGCTGGAGAATACTGCTGCATCAGTAGGGGAAAGAAAACAACTGCCAAGCTGATTGTGAGGGGTAGGCACATGCTGCAGTAACAGTCATTGTTTATTCATGTTTGGGACTCTTTATTCAAGTCACAAGCAAAACAAAAGCAGCCATTCTCATTTAAGTTTTTATGTACACACCAAATTTCACTCTCTAAGAATCCAGATGTATCTTCCCCTTCTCTCTCCACAGAGCGCGTTAGAATTGTTAGGGAGTTGCAGGACATAACGGTGACTGCTGGTGAGGACGCTGCGTTCATTTGTGAGCTGAGCCACGCAGATGTGAGTGACGGCGTCTGGTGGCTTGGCTCCAGCCCCCTGCAGAAGAATGAGATGAACCAGATGACATGCCACGGGCGCCAGCACCGGCTGGTCCTCACCATGGCGACACCTGATGAGACGGGCACCGTGGCGTTTGTGGTTGGGGACGAGAGGACTTCTGCACGTCTGCTAGTTGTTCCAAAGCCCAAAGGTGAGCGGCTAGAACAAAGAAAAAAAAACAAAGATCAACATGGCTCAGTAAACTTTTCTCTCAATGAAAGTTGTTTTATTCTCACCCTCCCGAAATGTGATTAAATGTCGAATTTTAGTTTTATTTGAGGAGAAGCCCAAAGATACAGCGGTGATGGAAGGACAGACCGCTACATTGCGTTGCACCATTTCTGACACTACCACCAAGGTTACTTGGAGACGCAGCCAGGTTCCCCTTCATAATAGTGATAAATATGAAATGCGTAAGGAGGGAAAAGTCAACCTGCTGATTATCCACGATGTGGAGCCCCAGGACACTGGCACCTACTCCTGTGATACAGGAGATGTGGAGAGCAGTGCCAAACTTACTGTAACAGGTAATGAATGAATTCCCTAGAAAATAGATGGAACTGACTTTCGTGCCTTCTGTTTTAATTGTTTTTCTTGTTACCTTAATTTTTTCTCTTTCATTTATCCTCAGAGCTTCCTCCATTCTTCCAGGAGGAGCTTCAGAGTGTAGAGGCGGAAGAACACAGTTCAGCCTCCCTCTACTGTGAACTCTCTAAACTTGGAGTGCCGATACAGTGGAAAAAAGACCGGCTGCCAATAAGAGCCAGTCGGAAGTATGAGATGAGACAAGATGGCTGCTTCATCCAGCTTTACATCAAGGAGCTCAAGCTTGAGGACAGTGGCAGCTACTCATGTCAAGCAGGGAATGCAGAGACCACTGCAACTGTATTGGTGAAAGGTATGTTTTACAGAATATCTAAGTGTCATAATTTAAAAAATGTCCCTGCGTTGGTTTACTCACAGCTAGATCAAAGCTATTTATTTTACCTTTGATTCTTTTTCCAGAGCTCCCTCCATTCTTTAGGAGAGATTTAAGAAGCGTAGAGGCTGAGGAAGGTACTGCTGCCTCCCTGCAGTGTGAGCTGTCTAAACCTGGGGTTACAGTGCAGTGGAGAAAGAACAGACTACCTCTAAGAGCAAGCAGGAAATATGAAATCAAGCAGGATGGCTGCCTCGTCCAGCTCCGCATCACTGAGCTTAAACCTGAGGACAGTGGCAGCTACACGTGCCAAGTAGGTAGCAAAGAGACCACTGCAACTGTGTCAGTGAAAGGTATGTGCATGTGGATATTTTCATCACAAATTTTGCAGGGGAAATGAAACGACATAACCTCATTTTGGGTTTTTTCCAATGCTTCGTTGTAATAATCTAAACTTACTTTCCCCTCTGATCATATTTTTTTTCAGAGCTTCCACCATATTTCATAAAGGACCTGCAGAGCATGAAGGCCGATGAAGGAGGGACGGCCTTGCTTTGCTGTGAAGTGTCCAAACCTGATGTGTCTGTGCAGTGGAAGAGGAACAAACTCCTCCTGAGACCGAGTAGGAAGTATGAGATAAAGCAGGACGGCTGCTTACTGGAACTCATCATCAAGGAGCTCAAATCGGAGGACAGTGGGAGCTACACATGTCAGGCAGGAAGTGCTGAGACCACTGCAACTGTGACAGTGAAAGGTTTGTATTTGTGAGCTTCAAAAACCACATTAAAGCTCTAAATCATGAAAAGTTTTCCACTACTTAAACGTAATGCTTAACGCTTTCTGGTCATTTCATATGCTAAAATTAATTCTTTACCATCCTTGCCAATATCTGCAGAGCTGCCACCATTTTTCAACAAAGATTTACAAAGTTTGGCTGTTGAGGAGGGAAGCACAGCCTCGCTCTGCTGTGAGGTCTCCAAGCCTGGATTATCAGTACAATGGAAGAAGAACAAATTGCCACTGAGAGCGAACAGGAAGTATGAGATGAAACATGACGGCTGTTTCCTCCAGCTCCACATTAAAGATCTGACGTTGGAAGACAGTGGGAGCTACTCATGTCAAGCAGGATCTGCAGAGACCACTGCGACTGTGGCGGTGAAAGGTGAGTGAAACTGACAGAAATTTTGTCGCTGTTTCACATGATCATTACCTCAATTTTCCAGATCTCTCTCATAGTTATAAATATTGTTCTACTTTTATGTGTAAACCCAAAAGCAACCAAAGCATCTTCTTCTTTTGCCCTTTTTCCCAGAGCTCCCTCCCTTCTTCAAGGAACAGTTAGTAAATGTGGAGGCTGAGGAGGGCCGTGCAGCATCCCTGTGCTGTGAGGTGTCTAAAGCTGGAGTTTTAGTCCAGTGGAAGAAAAACGATACGCCACTGAGAGCCAACAGGAAGTATGAGATGAAGCAGGATGGCTGTTTGCTGCGACTCATCATCAAAGAGCTCAAACCTGAAGACAGTGGGAGCTACACGTGTCAGGCAGGAGACGCTGAGACCACTGCAACTGTGACAGTGAAAGGTTTGGGAATTTGGAAAACTACATTTTGCACCATATTTGATTTCTCTGTCATAAAAACAGTTTTCCTGTAATTAAGTAACTATCAGTATAAATATTGTCTCAATATGTCTGAACTTAGAATGTACTTTTCTGCCAATTTTTCTCAGAGCTCCCACCATTTTTCAAGAAAGAATTAAAAAGTTTGGCTGTTGAGGAGGGAAGCACAGCCTCGCTCTGCTGTGAGGTCTCCAAGCCTGGATTATCAGTACAATGGAAGAAGAACAAATTGCCACTGAGAGCGAACAGGAAGTATGAGATGAAACACGACGGCTGTTTCCTCCAGCTCCACATTAAAGATCTGACGTTGGAAGACGGTGGGAGCTACTCATGTCAAGCAGGATCCGCAGAGACCACTGCAACTGTGACGGTGAAAGGTGAGTGAATGGAGGGGATGTTTCATCCCTTCACACATTTAGATATCGTCTCTGTTAGAATATGACACTATTATAACACAATGTTATCCACTATTATCATATTTAATTCCTTTCCCAGAGCTCCCTCCCTTCTTCAAGAAATCGTTAACAAGTGTGGAGGCTGAGGAGGGTCATGCAGCATCCCTGTGCTGTGAGGTGTCTAAAGCTGGAGTTTCAGTCCAGTGGAAGAAAAACAAGACACCACTGAGAGCCAACAGGAAATATGAGATGAAGCAGGAAGGTTGTTTGCTGCGACTCATCATCAAAGAGCTCAAACCTGAAGACAGTGGGAGCTACACGTGTCAAGCAGGGAGTATTGAAACCACTGCCTCTGTATCAGTTAAAGGTGAATTGAAAACCTGTATTAATAATATGATTTTATTGTATCAATATGACAAAAAAAAAGTCAATTGAACCCTGTTTTGGGTGGCCGTATGCGTACAAAACATTTCCCTTCTCTTTCTGGCGCTGTATCACAGAGTCCCCCCTACTTTTCACAAAGGAGTTAGAAAATGTGGAAGCTGAGGAGGACAGCACAACGTCACTATGCTGTGAACTATCCAAGCCTGGAGTGGCCGTGCAGTGGAAGAAAAATAGGCTACCGGTACGGGCCAGCCCAAAGTTTGAGATAAAACAGGAGGGAAGCCTCTGTCATCTCACCATAAAGGACCTGAAACCAGAAGATAGTGGCAGCTACACATGTCAAGCAGGGAGAGTAGAAACCACTGCAAATGTGGAAGTGAGAGGTGAGTGAATGGAGGGGATGTTTTATCCCTTTGCACGTTTATATAATGTCCATAACAGTTTGTACATACCTATCCTTTTTAAATGAACAACTCTGTATTTAAAATAGTAAATTATGTCTACAAGCTAAATCGAATCCATTTGATTCCCTATTTAACACGGAGCTTGTTTCGTGTAGAGCTTACTCCATTCTTCAACAAAGAATTACAAAATGTAGAAGCTGAGGTCGGCAGTACAGCCTCCATGCACTGCAAGCTGTCCAAGCCAGGATTGTCTGTGCAGTGGAAAAAGAACAAGCTGCCTTTGAGGGCCAGTGGGAAGTACGAGATAAAACAGGATGGCTGCTTCCTGCAGCTCAACATCAACGAAATCAAGTCAGAGGACAGTGGTACTTACTCTTGCCATGCTAGGACTGCAGAGACCTCTGCGACTGTACAAGTCAAAGGTGCATTTTGACTCCTTATTTTTAAACTTATGGAAACATGCTGACTTTCCTCACATTGATTTTTTCCCCCCACACTGTTTAGTACTGAAACCAGCTCCAAGGGCCGAAGCTCCCACGATGACGCCAAGAGTCAACGATACTGTTTCCAAACCAGCTCTTACTGCAGAGAATGAGAGTACTGGCCTTCCAGAGGCCAAACCTGTTCCTCCTGAGCCCAAAAAGAGGACTAATAGAAAGGCATCCATGACAAATTCAGAAAAAGATGTGGAGCCAGTTTTTAACCTTAAGGCATCCATGCTGAAGGATAATAATGAAGTCCGTAAGGGCACTGAACCTGCAAGTTCTATGGAAAATGACTTTGATGTTGCACGGAATGTAACACAAGTGGATGGGAAGAAAGATGAAGAGGGTGAGGTGTACAACAAGGTTGACAAGCCAGTGAAACAACCAGAGAAGGATTATAGGGTTGCTGAAAAGGTCAGAGAATCAGCTAGACCTTTAGGTAACGCAAATGATGTTTTCCTGGAAGTGAGACAACCAGGAGAGACTTTGGAAAAATTAAGTAGACTTGAAGTTAGTCAGTCAGATGGGGTTTTGGAGAGCCCTCCGGTTGAACCGACAGAAAAGGGAAAGGGGAAAGAAATGAAAGAGAGCTTGAAACAGCGTGAAAAGGCCTCTGAAGAGACACATGACGTTAAGCACAAGGTGAAATTACCAACAATTACCACACTGAAGAGCAGTGAGGATGAAAGACACCCTGAGAAAAACCAAGAAAAGATTATGTCAAAAGAAACTGCAGAAAAAGTTGTGAAATCTGTTGAAAATAAAGGTGGAGTGGAAAAGACTACAGAGGAGCCTTTGAAACCACCTGTACGATCTAAGGGAAAGTTAACAGAGGGAAAACCGCCAGTCCAGTGCATTTCAAGAGAAACTGAGGAAATCATTCCTCAAGAGATAGTAAAGACAGCGCTGAGTGATTTTGAGGAAGATAATGAACAAAGACTAAAATATAAGAAACCATCCGTGGTGAGTAAAGGAGAGGAAAAATCCCTGACACAAACTGTAAATCAGCTGGACAAAAAGCCAGAAAAGGTTGATGAAAAAGTATCTGCATTTGCTCAACCAAAACCCCCTTTAAGGACTAAAAGCAGAGCGAAAGGAGGGATGGAAAAACAAGTTTCACAGGACACAGAAACAGATCAAGATGAACTTCAGGCAATAAATATTGTAATAAGAAAAGCTGAAGCGAGCCAATTCAGCGAGCCAATTAAACCAATTGGGTCTGAAGAGACTTTGAGATTGGAGGGGAACCAGTTCGCCACAACACGCAGTGAAACAGCTGATAAAATAAAACAGCCAGTTAAACCCATGAGAAAAGAACCTGAGTCGGACCAGAAAATTAAACTGGCAGCCGAAACAATGAAAAGACCAGAGGAAAAGCAAACAACTCAGCTGGCAGAAGACATTCCTCTTCTCTACATTTCTGAAGAAGAGGCTTTCTCAGAGGCCTTGAGTGAGCTACCAGCTGTTAAGGTCCAGCCAACTGATGCTGCCGTTGGGGGGCAAACAGAAGAGGCGCCTTTCCAGAGGACTTCTGATTACTCCCCTCCGGAAGCTGACGTCAGTGTTGAGGATGAGCCAGAACTTCAACAAGCTGCGGTCAAGATCCAGGCCGCCTTCAAAGGCTACAAAACCCGCAAAGACATGCGTCCAGTCTTCAAAGAAGTGTTCAAGAACCAGAGTGCAGACCTGCATGGGTCACTCACTTTAAGATGCACCGTAGAGGGAAAAGCCAGCACAGTCCGCTGGCTGAAAAATGGCCAACAAATTGCGAATGACCACCGATTCAGGATTAAAACAACAGGAAACGGAGAGTGCACTCTTGTTATCAAAAACATGATCAGCAGTGACAGCGGAGTTTATACATGCGAGGCGGCAAACAAGTTTGGCGTTACCTCCTATAATGGAAACATAACCATAGTAAAGGCCGAGAAACCTGCGCCCCAGAAACCTGTGCACCCCCCTCTAGCGGCCATAACTCCTTTGCAGCGGGCTCCAGCGAAGCAGGAAGCCCAGACGGAAACACAGACTCAGAATCTGCTTCAAACGCAGGTGCCTGTTTCAGATGCTGGAAACTATGTAGAAAGTGTGAGTGTTTCTCTGTGGGAGGCCTATAACCTGACAGCGCGGGACCCTCAGACGAGCCTACAGGAAAGAAGAGGGTCCTCTCTCATTGGTGTCAGCTCAAGTGAGTAATACCTTCACGTGTTAGATTTTAAAACTAAAGGAATGGCTTTCGAAGCCGTGTAATTTTGGAGCGGCACTTGAGTTTTCTCAGGCTTTTTTTTAAAATTCCACTTTCAACAGTGTCAAGTCCCTCTGATTATGACACAGCTCCAGACATTATGGAGCCGGTGGAGACTGTTCCACTCGCACTGAGGTAGGGAAGTGAGAAAATAAACAATTGTATAAAATTGAAATCTATTTAATGTGTAATATTTTTGGGGGAAAAAATCTGCTTTATAAATTGTATAACAGAGAAGTATCAAAATCCCCTGCCGACCAAGTAGCTGCAAAGGAGGAGAAGGAAGAGCCGGCCGCTCCACAGCCTCCTAAGAAACTCCTGAAGGTCAAAGGTCAGTAATGATGATTTTGTTTTCTCATTTTTGTTTTTATCATGTTTAAAAGGTGCGACACTATATAGCAAAATCCATATTTCAAATGTTGTATAAGCCTTCCATTTGAATTAAAAGGAGTATTTATTAGATGTAGTTAATCAAGTGCTGGAAATTCAGATTTGGATTTGTTTTAACCTCCTGAGACCCTGTGTCCTCATAAGAGGACGTTGCATTTTTGTCTCTCTTTACCATGATACTTCTTTTTTTCTTTCAGCTTTGACCTCTTGACCTCATAGCAGATGCTATCAGACACTGTTTGAAATCTAAAGTAAAATGGTTTTATACATTTCCATCCAATCATGTTCTTATTGTGTAATAGAAAAACTGTAAATGAGTCAATGGGACTGTCAGAACAAAATTGTAAAAACATTTAATTAAATATGTATCTCATATATCTTTAAAAAAAAAGCTAAAATGCATGCCAAATAAAAGCTCGGGTCTCAGGAGGTTAAGAATCTGTTTCAGTCACACTAGTATCAACATATTTATTATTTCTAAGTCTTTGGAAACTAAAGAGCGGAATAGCTAGAAAAAAAATCCATAAAACATGAGAATTCTTTTTTTTATATTTGTCTTTGCAGCATGCTTAGTTTGAAAGGGGCTGTACATGGTTTGTAGATTGCTACAGTTTATGTTTCTTTGCCTTTTACTCAAATTCAAATGTTTTTAAAGTTATTGTTTTGCTGGTTTAATAGAGCTGTACTTTGTTCTGATTGGTAGGGCCTCATGACAGTAAACTTAGAGCACCATCTCCAAAGCACCACCGTACCGTCACACCCATATCGAGCACTTTGTCTGGATCTGAGTCAGACGGGGAAGAAGGCAGACGAGAGGTATTTTCTACACATAGAAGAAACTTTTTCTATTTTTAATGTCCATACTGCATATATGTGTCTTTTCTGTGAGGTGTTTTAAATATGACATTTATTAAGAAACAGTCTGACAATTGATATCCATTAAGCCGTAAATGATTATGTCTTTCCTGTTTTCTCTCCCTCAGACTTTTGAAATGTATGTGACTCGAGCTGATTGCAGCTCTATTAATGGAAATAAGGACAGCTTTGTTCTAAAGGAGGGTCAGTTTTTGGAGGTCCTGGACTCTGTTCATCCTGACAGATGGTTGGTGAGGACCAAACCCACCAAAACCAACCCAGCCCGACAGGGATGGCTGTGTCCAGCTTATTTGGAGAAGAAGAGAAAGGTAGGATTCATGACTGGGAAGCTCTAACGTCAGAAATACGTTGACGATAAATACATGTGTGTATTTTTAATAAGGAGACCTTCCCACAGTTGAGGGCACCTCAAGAGGATCTTGATGGAATTGGGTCCACAGTTGAAGAGTACAGAAGAGCTCTGAGGTCGGCTGGATTTGTATTCATTTTTTCTTGATTGTGTGTTTTTTGTAAACAGTTTGTGCTCAAAGAAAAAGCTAATCCTGTTGATTCATCCCTTTCTCTCTCGTGTCATCAGTCAGCTTATCCAAGGCCTGATTGACGGAGAGGAGGAATTTGTAAAGGTGATGAGGATGTTCCTCTCTCACCACTTAAGTTATCTTGACTCAAGCCACCATGTCCCCATAAACATCTTGAACCAAAAAGAGATCATTTTCAGAAACGTCAAGGACATTGTGTCTTTACATGAACGGTAATACACACACTCAAACTGGAACCATGTCATGCTCATGCTTACTTGTATGTTAATTAGTCGTTACTTATTGGAGTGTGTGACCTGAATGAGCCATGAATAAGATATTGTAATAAAACCATGCAAACACAGACATCCCTGTCTGTCTTTTCAGCTCCATACTTCCTGGTCTGAGAGAGTGTGTGACAGATGACGATGTCGCCATGCATCTAATCAAGCACTCCGATGACTTTGAGAAGTATCTTCACTACATGGTGGGACAAGCCCAAGCAGAAGCCTGCATCAGTGACAAGACTGTCCAGCAGTTTTTTAAAGTATTCCCAACATCTCTCACATGGATTCAAACATGGCATTGACAGTAGCTGTGCTGAGCATTAACTGTTCCATACTACATTTCAGCAGTCAGCAACAGAAGCTGATGTCCCTGTAATGGATGCTGTGTCATTCCTCCAGCAACCAGTAGAGAGGATTCAAACCTACCAGGCTTTACTGAAGGTCAGCAAAGTTTTTCTAGCCATTGAATTACTTTTAGTCCAGTGTGCCCAGAGGACTGGGGTTGGGGAACACTGGTGTGAACAGGCAGGTCCTGGGACCGTGTCTTTGATAACTTAGCCATCTGAGCGCTTCCAAAAGCATGTCAAAACAATCATGTCAGTTTCGTTCATTTATGTTTCTGCATTTGTCGTCTTGTCAGGAGTTGATTAAGAACAAAGCCAAGAGTGGCCAGAGCTGCTATATCTTGGAGGATGCCTTCTCCATGGTGTCCTGCCTGCCATGGAGGTCTGACAACCTGCATCAGGTGTCACTCATTGAGAACTATCCAGCCCCTCTTACTGCCCTGGGGGAGCCTGTGCGACAGGTAAGCATCAAAGACTGCTCTGACTTTTAGTTCCTTGGTTAGAAATGACTTATAATCCTAATCATTAGGAGCTTTATTTCTATTGGGAATGTTGCCTATAAGATCCTCTTTTTTGCTAGCTACCTGCTATATCTGGGGGATGTGGGCCACCATACTGCCTTTAGAATGTATCTGTCCTAGAGGTTTGAATAGAGTTGAAAAGTGTTGTTTTTGTGGGTCCTTTCCGTTGTAGGGAGTCCTTACCGTGTGGGAGGAATCTCCAGAAATCAAAACGTCCTCTAGAGGGCACCAGAGGCAAGTTTTTCTTTTCAAGGACTGTATTGTACTGTGCAAGCTGAAAAAAGACACCAACATGAACCAAGACACATATACCTTTAAGAACAAGATGAAGGTAAGGTTTCATTGCTTAATAGAAGTCCAGACTTTCTGCAAACTGCGATGGAACACCATCGTCGTTTCTTACTCTCACTCCAAAACATTCTGTCCAGTTGAATGATGTGGAGATCAAGGAGGCTGTGGGTGCAGAGGAGAGGTCTTGGGGCCTGTGGCATGAGCACAGGGGCTCCATTCGGAGGTACACATTTCAGGGCCACTCCACACTTGTTAAATTCTCTTGGCTGAAAGACCTGAAGGACCTGCAGCAACACTCTGGCATCAGTAACAGTAAGTCTCAGTCTTAGCTCCAAGTTTGGTGCGCAATCAAGATCAAGGAACAGACACAATGACCTATATTTGGCATTCAGTGTTCTAGAGTATAAAACATAAATCAAATCTTCACACATTTTTAGAAACATTTAATTATACATCATTGATTTTTAGAAGGGCTTTCCTAAGTTATATTTGAACCGTGCTACATGGATTAAAAAGCTCACAGACCAATAAGAATTAAGAAAGCTATTCTGAAGTGATATCTCAATATCGTAACCATCATGTCTGTATGTACTAACAGGCCAGCCAGTCTTTGAGTCTTTGCTGAGTGACTTTACAACAAAGATCGGACAAACAATCAAACTGACCTGCAAAGTCTCGGGATCTCCAAAGCCAGTTATCAGCTGGATCAAAGGTTAGACATTTCTTCAATGTAAAACTCTCTTCAAAGGATCAGTTATGTTTTATTTACTAAGCGTAAGAGCCTGTCTGTGAACCTCTCTGAATGGCGCATGACGCAGTTTGGTTGAAGTGATGCTTTTACAGTAAAAATCCTGACTTCCACCCTTTAGACGGGCTGCCTTTGGAGGATGACCCACGTCACATTATCACAGCCGACCGGTCCGGAACGTGCAGTCTCATCCTGGACAGCCTCACTGCTGAGGACTCAGGACAGTATGCTTGCTATGCTACCAGCTCCATGGGTAGTGCTAGCACGCTGGCTAAGGTAGTGGTGCAGGGTAAGCTGCAACAGGGCCAACTGCACCTCTTAAACTCCAATGCAACTGCTAACTCAAGGATAGACAGACAGACAGACAGACAGACAGACAGACAGACAGACAGACAGA